AGGGAATTTTATTGTAGTTCATGTATTTTTTGTTGATGCTTTAAGCATGGGAATTGAGCTATTAAGTGTTGTAGTACACAGGGATAAATTATATTGCGGTGCCTACGTGCACTTAAGGTGTTCTAAACACCGAGGATGGGATTTGTGGTGCTTATGCGCTTAAGGTGTTATTTAACACCGAGGTAGTTTAAAAAGGATTCAACATTAAATTATGTGGTCACTAATTATTCAAGAATTAAATTGGTATGTTTGGTTGCTTGAGTGATTTATTATGATTTATTGTGTTATGGTTTAAAAGTTGTCACCAAGTCTAAAAATATGTAAACAATTCAATGTAAAGTGAAAGAGATTACGCACCAAAACTCTTGGAATGTATATACCTCGAGTATGAACATATGGGGGGAGTTATGGGGTTTTATATTTAACCATGACTTCCACTGGGGGTACATGACGCTGTATTTTCCTTTTATTTATTTTATGCGCAGGACGTCCAGTCACTTCATGTGGCATTTGCCTACTTGGTTAGCTCCCAGTGTAGTTTACCTCAATTCATTTGGGGCGGGGATTTGGTGGGAAACCCGTTCGATGCGTAATCAAATTAAATAAGCAACTTTGTGGCCTATTTATTTGTTGGTTGTGTTGTGTGCTTGAAAACAGGTGCAACAAGGTAAGTTGTGTGTTGATAGGATTAAAGTATGTTAGTGTGTACCGTTTACGCTTATGTACTCAGCATTGCTGATTGTGTGTTGTATGTTTGTTTGGCCTTGTCTTTATCTTGGCCCTACGACAACCCATTTCTAATAGCGAGTAGTGGGGACAAAGTAAAGAGGAGCTTTTTAGGTGTGGAAGCATATTCATAATGGGCATGAGTGAAGAGCGAATCATATTTAGTTTTCATAAGAATATGATGTGGTTTTAATTTGTTGCTTTAATTATTATATATTTTGCTTGTGAGACTAACGCAAAGGTTTTCAAAGGTTTTATCTCGGTTTTATTAAGGGCCTACAATGGTTCCAAGTTGTAGGTTGACTTTGGTTGACTTTACTTTCATTTGATTTGACTTTTTAAGTTGACTTGTTTTGAATGGTTTTTAAAGAGAGTTTTTCGCTGTGTGTCTTTGATAATTGCCTTAGCCGTTTTCACGGTGGTGGTAATGTCTTAGAATTTCCTATTTCGTATTTTAAAAGAGAAAAACATGTATTTTAAAGGAAAGAAATTTTTAGGGTGTTACAACAATATCCCTGAAAAAAAAATTTGAGGACTACCTTGATGGATCTTCAAGTATGGACAAAACATATTTGAATGGCAAAATTTGGACCCATCAAGAGTTTGGGTCTATCAGTTTAGAACCTTGGTTAATTTTTCCAGATAGACAGTCATTAACTGAAGTCTTTAAAGACTATTGCATACAAGAGGGATTTGGAGTGTTTGTTGAAAAATCTGACAAGGGAAAGTATGCAGCCAGATGTACAATTGATACTTGTGACTGGAGGATTTTTGCTGGAGAGATGACTGATAAGATAAGTTTGGGTAATTAAGAAGATAAGTGGGGAGCATAAGACTTGTGGTAGGCTGGAGGTGAACCCAGTGGTAACTTCAGAATGGCTTTGCAAGCATTTGAAAGGAGTCATTGAAGCAAACCCTGAAATACCTGTTGATGCTTTACAGAAGTTATGTATGGAGATACAGAATTCAGGTGAAGACAAGGTTGTTCAATAAGGTCAAAGCCATGGCTAAAGAGAAAATACATGGAAGCTTTGGAGAGTCATACTCACTTTTGCCTAGGTAAGCAGAGATGGTAAAGGAAACAAATCTTGGTAGTTATGCTCTTATCTCATGGACAGAACAAACAAGAAATGAGATCCCAAAGTTAGAGCCTGCTTTTTCTCATTTGCAGGTCAAGTGAGGGGATTTTTTGAAAGGGTGTAGGCCATTAATTGGGATTGATGGTGCCCACCTTAGTGGATATTTTAAAGGCCTTCTCTTAACGTACTGCTGTAGGTATTGATGGGAATAATGAGATTTTTGTTATTGCTTATGGGATAGTTGACACTGAGAGCTGTGACAGTTGGTCTTACTTTCTAAGAAATCTGAAGATTTTGTTTGAAAAGGAAGGTTGCAACAGAGATGACTGGACTGACTGATGAGGGTAATGCTTTTGTATTATGTAATTAACTTGTCTTGACTATCTAACATTTGAAATGAATTGTCATACTAAGGGTTTTTTTTATGTGAATTTGTTTGCAGGGAGTTGACTCAGCAGTGCATGAAACTTTTCCTAGAGCTACTAGAAGAGTATGTTGTCAACACTTGTACATGAACTGCAAAACAGAAGGAATTAGAGGAACAACATTTCACAAGCTCTTTTGGATAGCAGTTGATGCATACAATGAGTATGTTTTCAACAAGGCAATTGAGAAGATCAAAGAGTATGATCCAAAGGCTGTAGAGTACTTGGAGAACTACACTGAACAATGGTCAAGGCATATATTTGAACTAGCTGTTAGCTATGATCATAATACCTTAAATTTTTTGGAGTCATTCAATGCATGCACTAAACCCTACAGAGATCTGCCTATCTTGACACTCCTTGAAGGTAACATGCTGATTTTTTTTATTAACTTAATACTAGCACCTGTTTTCACTTAATATGCATGTTATGAACCATTCAAATATCTGCCTTATTTTGTATTTCTAGCTATTAGGTAGTGGTGCATGAAAAGAATTGGATCTAGGTATGAGAAAGCAACTTTTACGGGGCCTGATGACTTGACTGAGTATGCAACTAAGATTTTGCAAAGTAGGAGTGATGAGTCTAGGTTCTGCTATACTACAACTTGTGGTGGTGGGGAATTTGAGGTCAGGGAGAGGCATGTTCATTTTCCAATTAAGCTGCAAAGTGGTTGTTGTGGTTGTGGGAAATGGTAGCACTCTGGGATCCCTTGCAAGCATGTGTTAAGGGTCATTTACCATGAAAGAATGCAAGCTACAGACTTTGTGTCTGCTTACTTCAAGGGGGCTGCATACAAACAAGTATATGCAGAGCATATGCACCCCATGCCTGATCCAAGTCAGTGGCATTCCTTCAACCTCCCTGAAATACAGCCTCCATTCATAAAGAGAAGTGCTGGGAGACCTCGAAACAAAGAAAAAGAGGGCCAAATGAAGCAAGGAAAGGAAAGAGAACAAGTACAGTTAAATGTAGCTTATGCAGATAAATGGGGCATAACATGTTAACTTGTACTGCAAGGAAAAGGAAGACAACTGATGAAGCTAGCACATCTAAGACCAAGTCAACAACTAACAAGAGATCAAGGAAGGCTGCATGAACTACACCCCATGACTGAATTGCTGCAACATATATTTTTGAGTACAATGTGATAAGTTTTTTGAACTTTGAACATCATAATATGTTTTTATGTTTGAGTAGCAACAAAATTTTTTGAACATGAATTGTGCAAGAATGAATTACTGTAATTTTTTGGTTTCTTGGATGAAATTGCTATTACTTTTGGAAAACAAATGTCTTTGTATTATTTATTCAACTTTTTTTTTTGCTGTTACAACCCAATCACTTCATCATTACAATTACAATGATTACAACCATCACTATCCCTAATTTTATGAGTACATTAACAAGTTTTTGCTGCTTTTTGATCTTCTCCTTTAATTGCTTCAACTCTTCATTCAAATTGATTTGTCCTTGCCTATCCCTTGTTTTCTGTGCTTCCCCTTCCCTTGCTATGACATTCATGGTGCTGGTTGCTCCAACTTTCATCAATAACACCTTTGCACCATTTGAAGTTGTTACACGCATCACACTTGTAATATAGCCTTTGTGGATTTAATGATGAGTCGGAACTTCTAATTGCAAATTTCCTCCCACAACTACAATATTTGTTTGCAACTCTCACATAAGAATACTCATACATTGAGGAGGAGGACCTAGAGATATAACTCATGGTGTTAAAATTTGTGGTTAAGCAAAAAAAAAAAAAAAAGGACTGCTATGCGTTGAGTATTTATGCAAAAGAGGGTGTGAAATAAAACTAACGGCTAGTTTCCCAAATTTCAAACTAGCCGTTGTACCTCAAAAAATAGAGGTATTTTGTGTAATTATTTTACAAAGTTAGGGCATTTGGTGAATTAAGTTTTATACTAACGAATTAACGTCAGGGGTAATTTAAGGTCAAGGTGTGAATAGTAACAAACGTCAGTGGTATTTGGTGAATTTTGAAAAACTTGAGGGTATTTGGTGAATTTTTGAAAAGATCAAGGGTATTTGGTGAAAAAATCGTAATTTTAATTATTAAAAAAATTAAAAAAAGTAACTATGATTAACTATTTTAATGAAAATAGTGATTCTCTTTGGTATTGGTTACCAAAGATAATAAATTTTCTTACAATTTACCATAGAGAAATATAAAAAATTTGATGTTACCAAAGAGAATTTCCCAATAATATTTGAGAAAATAGAAGGATAAAAGCAAAATTGATGTTTTTAATTTAAAATCATTATTAAGCCCGACCCGCCCCATTAAGGAGACCCATAAGAGCAACTCCACTGACAATTAGCTTGCGCATGCCACATAAACTTATAGGCTAATTGTCATTTTAGCTACTTTGAGCTCCAATGGCTAGCTATTAGCTTACAATTAAAAAAATCCCACTTCCTTAATTAACTTTTTATATTTCATGTTATTTATTCTATTTTTTTTGTTAACTTTGGTAAGTTTTTTTTCCAAGCAAAGCTAATTTGTTAGCTAAGCTAATTGCATTTTCTAACTCTAATGGTCAAGCTAGTAGTAGCTAGAGATTATTTAATATTACAAGCAAGTCCCTATCTACAGTCATTGGAGTTGCTCTAATTGGACAAGCGATAGAGACTCAGCCCATTTATTTATCGGACGGATCTGACCCAAATATAACTGGGCAGGTTATTTATTAATGGGGCTCCAAGGCCTCCAACCCATTGAATTGCTCTGTCAAATTGTCAATAATAAGGAATCAAAAAAACGAATGAACATAGCTCTGCCTAGTGAATTGCTCTTGCTCTTGCTCTTGCGCACTCTCTCTCTCAGTTCTCCATTGAAGCGCACTCAACATCGCAGTTGACGTTCTCCATTACAAATTATTTGTTATCAGCAGCTTCTAAGGTAAGTTGTTGTTTCTTTTAGTAATTATCATATCAATTTCACAGTCTAAGATTATGAAAGATTATCATATAACCAGCGATTGTATGTGTTGCTAGAAATTTGATGATTGAATCACATATCCCTAAAATTATGAGCTTTAATTGATAGTTGAATCAAATTTGGTTGCTAATGTATTGCACAATCCTTTAATGTTAGGATTCAACTATTAAATTAGACCTTATCTTCCTGGCCCTGCCTCTGCTAAAGTTCTGGAATGTTTGATAAATGTCTGAGAGACCAAAGGTCAATTATTGTGAAAATTGTAATTATATGGTGGTTTTATTGATGAGAAAGGTCAAATGGTTGTGTCAAGCAGGAACTTTGTTCGATTCGTGAGCAGCGAATGTGGAGAGATTTGGCTTTCAATGCTCATTTGCTATAAAAACTGCTCAACTAAATCTTACTGTATGTTAGGCTATGCTGTCTGAAGTTCTGGAATGTATCGGACAATGTGAGAGCTTCTATACCATTTCTTTTGTTTATCTGCCGCCTATTTCAATGGTTGTCTTCCAAATTGTTCTTATCGTATGGTTTTGTTGTTCTTGCTGTACAGATTAAAGTGCCCTCGGCGGTCCATTGCTGAATTGTTTTCTGGACCATTATTGCCAAAAAGGGTATGCATTTTCTGGTCTCTTAGACATACATGTTTAGGCGTAAGCAGCTGTGTTATCTAGATAGGTTTTATCTGATCGTGGCGATTATCAGACAAAGTTGTCAAAGTGCTCCATATATAACAAAAATGAAGTAAGATTAATGGTTCATAGATCATGATTGACTTTTTATGCTGTTGCAGGGGAAGAATAATGGACATCTTATGGTGGAATCATTCCAAACTATCGCTGGCACAAAAGGCAAGGCAGAATTTCGCGGCTGATCTAAGTTTTCTTTCTGATTTTGATATATATATATATATATTGCCGTGTTGTATTTAAACAAGAACATGAAAGGTTTCTGAGGAGTCTTGTCTACTCAAGATATCCTCAAATTTATTTATTATGGTCATTCTCATAAATAAATGTAATACTGTAAACGTTGGAGATGTCCAGAGCTTTCCTGTCTCACTACAGTTTTACACCTCGCTTGTTTTTACATTTTCAATTATCTGGTATCTATTGCTAGTTGTACACTTGTCGATTCTATTTTTGCTGGACTCCAAGCACAGTGTTGCAATTGTTTTTGGTGTGTTCATTGTTATAGCTTCTGCGAGTTTGATGAATAATCATTACCCCTTTGAGAGTAAGTTTAACAACAAATTTCTAGAAATAGAACTGTAGTAAACAATCATTGCAGAAACTTTGCTGCTACAGATTCATGAAGAAATAATACATGATGAATAAAAAGCTGCAAAATCATTGTTTCTATCTTTCACAAGTCATGTTATTACTTATTATCACTTTACTTTTCAGAATAGTATTATAGATTTATAGTAATCCTATTTGGCATACAATTAGAAACTTGGTTGCAGGAGGTACTCAAAGCATATTTGTTCTATCATTTCAATAGTAAACTATTTTTGCTACTAATAGTTCCCTTTGAAGGAAAATTGTATACCATATGCAACTAAAAATTTGATTGTTTAATTGTTCATATGTATGTGCTTATAGTTTGCTGCAGATTGAATTTAAGTTGTTCATGATAGAATGTCTAGAACTTTAGATTGCTTAGAAGTTGATCATTGCTATGATGCTTTCATTTCTTGTTCTTTTCTCTTCTCATTATTGTGGATCAAACTTTCAATTGTGCTTTTGTTCGCAGATCCCTTTAATTTTGGCTACATGGGAGATACAATGACCAATCCCTTAGGTCTTCAAGTAGTCAATGCTCTTCAATTAGGTCACAGAAGCCAAGCTTCTTATATGCTTTCGGATGCTGGTGCTGCAATCCATGCAATTAATGCTGAAGATATTGTTTATATTCTTGAATACTGTGCAAGATTACCGGATCCATTGGTGAGTGTAGCTATCCTCGAGACAATTTTATGTTGTAATTTGTGAATGAGTTGTCCTCGGTATAAAAAAGCGCGTCTAAGTCATGTCTAGGCGCTAGGCAATTAAGGTAGAGCGCATTTTATGCTCTAGGTGAGGCGCTTTCTTAAAGGCATACCCGAAGCACGTACATCTTAAAGGCATGCCAGGCGCGCTTCAGGAGCTTTAGTGCTCTCCGAGCTATTTATACGTTTGTCCTTGGGTAAAAACATAGCTGTGCTCGTGTTATATCTAAAAAGAATGTCAAATGCTAGTTATTGATCTAACAACAAAAATAATATTGAAATATATTTATGAATATATATGCACTCGTGAGAACCCCTCCTTTATGTGAGAACACTCTAGATGTTCTAAATTTTAAATCAGGTGCTCTAAATTTCTATTCACGTGTTCAAAATCTTAAATGAGTAAATTAGATGTTCTAAATTATTACTTGCATGTTCTAAATCTTAAATGAGTTAAATCCAGATGTTCAAAATTATTTTTCACATTTTCTAAATCTTAAATTAGTTCTTAAAATTTTTTAATTTATATGTTCTAAATTTTAAATCATGTTTTCTAAGATTTTTAATCATATGTTTAGATTTTGAATCAGACGATCTAGATTTTAAATCATATGTTCTATATTTTATATCATGTGTTCTAAATTTTTACCTATATGTCCTAAATTTTACTCACATGTACTAAATTTTAAATTAGGTGTTCTAAATTTTTATTCACATGTTCTAAATCTTAAATCAGATATTCTAAATTTTACTCATGTGCTCTAATTTTAAAATAAGATTTTCTAAATTTTTACTCACATGTTTTAAATTTTAAATGGTGTTCTAAATTATTACTTATGCAGATGGTCTAAATTTTTACTTATATGTTCTAAATTTTAAATCACGTGTTCAAAATCTTTAATCGTATGTTCTAAGTTTTACTCGCATGTACAAAATTTTTAGATAAGTTCTCATATAAGTATGGTGTTCATATATATATATATATATATATATAATGACATCTACGTATTTTGCAATTTTCATATAACATAATTTTCGTGTTATATATGTATACATTTACATACATTTACTAATTTTGCAATTTTACAAAACTAGTTCTAGTTTCGATTTTAATAAGTAAATGAAATCAATCGAAATGTAAATGAATTGCTTAAAAAGTAAAGATATTAAGAATCGGTTTGAAAAGGTGTGGAAATACAAAAATGCCATTAATGAGCACATGGAACATCTTGACCGTGTGATTATGATGATATGAGGGTTTAGATTGGTTTCTTGTTTTCATTTTAGCCTTACTCCTTGCAAAGTTCGACTCACGTTGCATTTGTACGATCTCCAATGTGCATCTTTGGTCATTAACGTCTTCGATTATGTATAAGTGAAAATTATACAAAGTTGATTTTTGCAAAATTTACGCTAGGAAAAATCCAATAAGATCGCACATGCTAATTTGTTTCTTTTATACTCCCTTTGCTCCCATGTAATTGACACATTGAAATGGGCACAGAGTTTAAGAAATGTTTGGGTGGGGTAGTCTTAGTTAATTGTTTATTGTAAAGTGAAATTAGTGGAATGTTACTATATTCATAGAAATTTTGCATGAGCCATTGTAGAGTGAAGTTAGTGGAATATTTGAATGGGGGTGGGGATTATTTTAATATAAACCTTAAAAGTGGTGGGCCATTGTGTAAGGTAGAAAACAATTAAATATTAGTGTGTCCTTACCATTTTTGGTACTGGGTTAATTATTCAAGGTCTGAACAAAAGAGGGAAGTGTGACAATTATTTAGGAACGGAGGGAGTATAAATCATGAAATATGGTGCCACATGCATGAATAGTAAGTGGGTAGGATTTTTAGAAGTGGAGGTAGTATATATATGTTGTAACCATTGAAAACGTTCTCCAAAGTAGAAAAAAATAGCAAATGTTTAATCAACAAAATGGAACAGATGGAGATAAATAGTGTAACTACCAAAAAAGAACATGGAGGTGGTGACAGGTAAGGTATGACAAGAGCACTTGGCAATGCCTTGTATTTAAGATGCCTAAATAGATTTGATTCAGGATATGGCTTAGTGGGTCAATGTGGAGTCTCTCAAACTTATTATTGAATTTAAATTAATGAAAATAAAAGACAAACTACAGGGAGCTGCCTCGTGGCTATGTGTGGTACTTGGGGTTCCTGTTTTAGTCTTAAGTTGATAGATTAATGGACTTCCTCTTTTTGTTCTTCTGGAAAGCTGTGGTAACATATGGCGATTGGGCTGTAGCAGTGATTGCATAGTATACACAATTGTATTTGGGCAGCTGTTATTAAACTCTTAAATGATGTAGATAATGGGGCACAACTGTAAATATTAAAGGAAAAGGAAAGAATTAAAAGTAAGGACTTAGAACAGCTTTTAGGGAATTGCTTGTCAAGTTTGGTGAATGTTTGAAAATGGATTCCTTGATGAATACTTCAAGGGATGAGAGAATTAACAAAGGGAAGCCTAGAAATATATATTTTCAATAAGCAGTTACACCTTGTTTTTATGTCCAAATTAATTTTTGAATCAACTTATCGTTTAATTACCTGCAATCCTGATGTAGTTTGTTACAGCTGAAACTGTTTTTCAGTATTTCATGTATTGTAGCTGGTAATGTATTACTTTTTATTAATGCAATCTATTACCTGCTGCAGTTTGTTATGGAAATTTGGAGAGTCCTTGAAGGACATGATATTGCTTTGAGCTGGAAACACTATATGCTTATTGTTCGTGCTCTATGTAATGGTGGTTACTTGGAAGAGGTATGGAGTATTTGTCAGCCTGTATGCAATTAATTTGTTAAATACTTTTAATCAGCATTATTTATATTTTTTGTTCAAAGTAAAGTTTTAGCAATTATTAAAAGTGTCAAAACTTATTCATCCTTAAAGCAGGACTAAACCAAAAATATTTTCTGCACCCTATAAAACTCTATTAGACATCTAAGACTAGCATAATCAAGAAAGGAGGAATTGCATCGGAAGCAGTATGGATATAAGATAGTAATTGTCTCAACTTTCCATGAGAAAACAAGGTGTATAAGGGGTTTGAACTTTCCTTGCAACTCAACGTTTGAAGCTTTTCATGAGGACTCACCGACTGACCCTGAAACCAATTTTGCTGAGGTAAAGAAAACCTTGTGGGGCTGCCAGGGTATCTTGTAACTGTGAGTATCCTTGTATCTTATCACTCGAACATACCATAAGACCATAGCATTTCTTCACTGTGCAACTTAGTCTCGTGAGGGTAGGAAAGATGATCATGGGGCCCCTTGTCTTCTCTTTGCTTACATCGTTCTGTTAGCAATCTGTAATGGTTGGGCGTAACTCCCAAATCCTTAGGGCTTCTCCTAAATCTGTTGGAACTCCAAAGATCCTAACACGATTCATCAAACCTTTGAGTCAATAAGGTCTTACTGTCCTTACCTAACTCGATACGCTTAATAGTGCTTGTAGTCCAAGGGAATAAGGAAGTTTTGATATTTTCAATGAACCTTATTCCCACATCTAGCCATGTACTCTGGCAACGGGAGAATATAGTTTCCCTTATCATTGCTATAGTAGTATTATTACCTTGACGGACTTCGCTTCCTTAGATCCCTTCTTCGTGGCCTTGATTTCTTCGTTGTTCTTCACTGGTGGTTCTTCTAGCCAACCACCCATGCCTGAACTAGGCTGAACACCTTAGCTGAACACCCATGCCTGGTGGTTCTCTTGGCTTGGACGAAGGAGGTGCTTTGGAGATGTATTACAAACTAAGATTCCAAACTTGCTCGTTCATCTTAGCTCATGAATTGCTTGATTAATAGCATGTGGCAGTGCACAGCTTCAGGCTGTTGGTAACGATGTACCTTTTCCAGTTGTGTGTTCGTGTACTATGCATGACCCATGTATTATTAATAGCTGATGTTAAAATTTGTATTGCTGATGTTTAGTTAAATCTTATTTTTTTATCTATATATTTTTTTCAGGCTTTTCATCTGGTGAAATTTATTGGAGAAAATGATCGTATAAGTTTTATTCTCCCTCTGTGCAATTCTTTGTTGTCAGCATGTACAAAAATGAAAGATGTGGTGCTTTTTAATCAGTGCTTGGATTTGATGGAGAGCCAATGCCTGGGGAAGAATGAAGTTACATATTCAGCACTTCTCAAGGTATATAATTTAAATGTGTAATAAAATAAATAATCATCTTCACAAGATTAATTGTTAATATTTAGAAGTTTTTTTTCTACCCAAAATATACTGGTTTTATTTAGTAGTTTATTTATTTTATCTTTGGTCGGTTAAATTGCAGTGCTATTGTAGGATATTTGAAGGAAAAAATGAAGTGTGCAAGAAAAAAAAGATGAGCAGAGTAAAAATGGAAAATTATTTAGAATTGGCAGAAGCCAATTGTATATGGTAATATGACAAGAACCAGACTAAATAACCATGTTAGTATTGAGAGTTGTGTCACCCATTTAAGCTGTAGAACTAATAGAAGTCAACACAATCATTTCAACCTTTTCAAGTAAAGTGTTAGAATACCAACGATTTTTCGAACATGAATATATCGCCAACCTTTTTGACTAAACTTATAGATATTTCAACACTCAACACCAAAAAAGGCAAGACGCTGCTATACTTGTACTAGTCCAATGAAATATAAATACACTAAAAGGTCGGAAATCCTAAACCAACTTGATGGTGCATTAGATAGTGATTTAGAAAAGTCATTCGGTATGAAGTTAACAATTCTAATCAAGCAGCTAAAATATGAGTAGCCGGGGATTAGTTTAGTTTCAAGTGTTTATTTACATGGGTTGGGATTGTGTGAGGGGTTCTACAAGTTATCATTAATATGGGTGTTATATATGACACTACCTATTTGCTTATCATTAGTATGGGTGTTATATATGACACTACCTATTTGCTAACTGTAGAAAATAGCAAAGAATAGGAGCATGTTCTTTTCATTTCAACTCATTAGATGGTGTAATGATTAAAGAGTAGCCCATTAGCACCTTATATGGAACTTAGAATTGAAGCCAAAACATGAAGTAATGTTACAAAAATTATAATTCGTAGCCTGACTCATTAACTAATTGCCAATGTCTGTGAAACCAAAGCTTTCATTGGAATCAACACAGCAGTAAACTGTAGACGAACATAATGACCTTAAACTAAAATTTTTTTTCTTCTAGGAAAAAATCATAGTCTGTAAGCAAATTAATGTGTAATTTTTTTTTCTTTTCCCTTTTCCAATTCATATAATGTCTTCATTGGATCCCTGAGATATTTTGTATATATATTTCTGTATAGCAGCTTAGGGGTTGGTGATTGATTTGCTGTGGTGAACCCATGCATTTATCTTAGTAAATCCAATGTTAAACTTTGTGGGAGACTTAGTTCTGTCATACAAATAATTAAATGCGCAACAAATTAAGTGCAACTCCTATCAATTATATCAATAAAGGTTTTTCAAAATCCTCGTATGCTTCTTAGACATCCCCTTTATTAAAAGAACATTTTCAAGTTAGGCCTAAAATATAATGAGGTGCATGCTATGCGCTTCTAGTCTTGTAGGTGCTTTGAGTGGGAGAGAAAATTTCTTGGATTAGGGCGTATTTAAGTTCTGTTATTGAGTCAGGAGGTATTGGCCAGAATGTGCTGTTCAGAGTAGAAAGAAAAATGAAAAATATATATACAAAGTGTTGGGGAAGATCGAAGGTGGGTGTATGTGAAATTTACATGTTTTAACTTCATACTCTTGCTCTAATTCTAAGTTAAAGTGGAATATGGCTCCCTTACACAGATTTATTTAAGTAGAATTTAAAGTTATAACACATTATATTTCTTTTTAAAAGTATATTTATAATAGTATCGTAAGATTCGTAACCCATTATAACAGTTTTTTAGTGAAGAAAATCTTGTGGTGGACAAGAGTCACAAGACTAACCATAATGTCATGTTGATGATGCTTGCTAGCTTACTTCTGGGTCTGTACCCTCTCTTACTGAATCCAACATATTGTGATAGGATTGTGCCTCCTTTTATTTGCAAGTAGACTAAGTACTGCCTGTTTATCTCTGTTGGAAGCAGGGTTTGAGTCTCATGGGGCATTTTATGCTTAACAATATAGCAGGAATGCAACAATACGACGTGTCTTATAAGTTGTTACATTATATGATAGACAAGGGCTAGATTGGTAGAGATGACAGCTCATGGGAATAATGAATCAAATAATTTGTCTTTTAGAGGCATATATTAATTGATGATCACTGACCACACCAAGCTAAGAGATAATGTTCCCACTAGTAAGCGTGGACGAGTAAGTGGCACCTTTGAGAAGCTTCAAACCATATTTAGTCTCCTGTAGGGTGGGAGGAAAAAAGTTGTTAACCTATAAATTATGATTTATGAGCCAACATGCATCCTCTTTATTCTTTTGAATGCAGTAGTTGTGAAGGTGGGGAGACAACATGATGCCTTTGCCTAAATTGTATGGTTCATATAATTATATCATTTCTAATATTGTTCATATTAGTCATTCTATGATATTGTTTTATATACTATGTGTCAGCCTTTGGTTTGTTTAGCTTATGCTCTAGTTCTCTGGGCAATTTACTAGTTCTATTAAGTGCCATTTCTGAGGTCTTAGAATGACTATTACTTTTTTGCAGTCTATAGAATGGTTGTTGGTTCTAACTGACTGCTTTCAGCTTGCAGTTTGGCAGAAAAATTTGTCTGTTGTGCATGAAATTTGGAAAGACCACTGCAAACATTATAAAGTGAACTTTATTTCTTTGAGGAAGTTTATATGGTCTTTTACACGTCTGAAGGATGTAGAATCTGCATATAGAACATTGCAACACATGGTTGTTTTGGTGTCTATAGAACACATCCTTTTGCGTACATCTGTGGAGGGAAAGATTTATTGCCCACAGCTGGACATTCCTATCCCTTCTGGCAGTGTGGTGTGCTCCAACCTGCATAAGGACCAACATGCCAATTCTGCCTCTTCTAATGGTGAAGGAATGATTATGGACTCAATTGAGGCTTTGCGGTGTAGTCCTTTACATGCCGAAGATAACATGGACCGCTCAACTGTGATAAAAATGCTTAAGGATCCGAGAAAGGAACCCATAAAGAAGATCTTGAGGTGGTCTTTCAATGATGTTATACATGCATGTGGTCGTCAAAAGCCTAAATTAGCTCAGCAATTGATTGTGCAGGTAATAATTTTGTACCATTTCACATTCTTGTACTTTTTGGGTGAATCTGAACATATTTATGATGATGTTTAGAGAAGTGTCACACTGTAGTCATGCTGCTTCTAACTTTCTTTCTTTTATAAGTGTCTTTAGAGTTGGAAATATTTTTGTAGAGGATATGTTGCCTTGAAACCTAAACTTCGTGAATATTTTAGTTGATATAGTGGGAAAAAAATCTGCTCCACATTCAGATCTTCACGGGATCACGTTGTGATTAAAATTTTTGGGATATCTGCTATTTGGCATTCTTTTGCTTTAGACCTTTCTGTTCACCAAAACATGGAAGATTTCTTACTTAGTGATGTGTAGATTGCAGAAAATCTGGGGAGGGGATATGTACTGCACAAGCCTTGGGGAATTAATCGTACTCCATTTTTTTTGGCTATACTCACTTTCCATTATAGATATATTATTACCCATTTTTTCTTTACCTCACAGCATTTGCAATTTTTTTTTTTTTAATATCATGGCTCTTACTTTATTCACCTTCTTACTCAGTTTTTATATTCTTTTATTCCATGGTTCTTAATTTATCCACCTTTGCACTCACTTTTTTCAAACTTTCCTAGAAATAAGAGTTACAGTAAGTGCTAGAACTGAAAAATGAAGGGATTTACTTATTCAAATTGCAGAACTTTTCTGCTCCCAACTCAGATATTCCTAATACTCTCACTTTTCTCTGAAATACGAAGTTAGTATTTAGCTACTCAAATTTCGATCTCTGCTATTGGACCTTTAGCTCTGAGCCAAACAGCCTCAGAGAAATCATTTCTTGGGAAGAAGAATTAGTAAGGATTGGTTACAAGTCTGCTGCTTCTAAGGATTAATGGCTTTTAAGACATTTACATAATAGCTGTAAATGTAGTGCATCAATGGATTCTTTTATACAACAAAAGGAATGTTTTGATTTCTTCTGTAGATCTATACATGAACCCTAATTTCTGTTAATTCCCTGTCTAATGCTTCTCCAAAAGCATGTCTGGAGTGGTTCAGTTTGTGTACGGGGATGTGCTTTAAAGGAGTAAGTTGAACCTTACAATTTACTTTAGCTTGTGTGTGTTTGAAGATGAGATGGTTTTTGTCAGCCATCTCTCTCTCTCTCTAACACTAGCTTTGTTTGGGGTGAGTTAGGTAAACCTGGTAAGTGCAAGATTTGTTTGTAGCTTGGTAATTTGAAAAGGAGGATGAAGATGGCTTGGATTGCTGAAGTGTGAAAGCTGGTTTCTTAGCAATTTGCTGAGTATGGATGGAAAGACTGGGTCACGTTATTCTCCCCCCCTCCCCCCCAACACACACACACAATGCTGTATTTGCTTCCCTATATTGAGTTTGTACTTTGTAGTTCACTAGCATTTAACACGACTTAGGTATCTAGTACTCCTCTAGTATAAACCCATGGTGCACTAGCCATAGGTGGTGTAGCCGATTGAAGAGCAGGTTCATGCTATACCATATAATAACCCTAATTTAAGCAGCTTTTTGCATGCATTTGCAAAAAGCTCTTGTATACTAGTGTACAACTATAGACAAAGTGTTCCCATTTGACAGAATGTGTATGTGATGAAATTATTACACCTGAAATTTGAAGCAATAATTGATCAAAAAGGACAAGATCTTCGGGTTTTGTTGCCTACTCCTTTTTATTTGTGTACAAGGAAGTAGGGATGGCAATTGGGCGGTGCGGGTACCCCTCCTCCATACCCATACCCGCCAAAATTTTTTTACCCGCTACCTGCGGCGGGTAAAATTATAACACCCACACCCACCTAAGCGGGTAGAAACCTAGATCCACCCCACCCATGTGGATATCCACCACCTGCTTTTTACTCGCCAACCTAACAACATTTGTTTCATAAATTTTCTATAAATATGTCATTTTGCCATATCTAAATATTTTAATACTACCTCCAGTCGCTATTATTTGCAACTTTGGAGGGTTTCACGGTTCACGAAGCATAATTTGATAATAAAAGGAAAGGGTACTTTGTACATGTGATTAGGAGGAGAGAGAAAAAATAAAATTGGGGACCACTATATTAAAATCTGATTTTGTACATGTGGTTAGGAGGAGAGAGAAAAAATAAAAAGGGGGACCACTATATAAATGTCTTTTTAATCAAAAAAGTTTGTTAAAAAGGGAAAGAAATTGAAAAGTTGCAAATAATGCTAGGCGGCCAAAAATAGTAAAAGTTGCAAATAATAGCGACCGGAGGTAGTAGCATATTATACAAGGTAGTAATCAATTTGTGATAAAAAATAATAGTAATAAGTTTGCGGGTAACTGGGCGGATAGGCGGGTGACTAGGCAGGTAGGTGGGTAACTGGGCGGGTAGACGGGTAATAGGCGGGTATGGCATCAAATCCACCACCTACCCGCTACCCACGGTGGGTATGACTTTTGTACCCATACCCGCCTACTTACCCTCCAAAGTTAGACCCATACCCGCTCTAACTGGGGCGGGCGCGGTGCGGGACCCGCATTTTAATACCCACCTGCCATCCCTACAAGGAATTATTTATAACTAATATGGCCTATTTCAAAAAACTTATATTCTTATTCTATTTACTTGAGCAGGCTTTCTTGGGTTTTAAATTGTGGTTGGGTTTGTGTCCTTTGTGATTACCTGCCACTTGAGCTAATTTATTGCAGTGTTGTGATATTATAAGTTGTTGACATGGCATGACTTGGTCATGCTGGTGATGTCTGGCTTGTAATGACTCTGTATCACTGATTCGCTGATACCTAATAATCTTTTATGATTTGAAGATATTGGTTCAGTAAGCCTAGAAAATCATTACAGATCAGCCCATATGCTACATATTTATTGCCATGAATGTGACTGCTATGTTCCAAGAAAAGTGTATTTGTTGATATGAAGTACCCCATGAAATTGTATGGTTTGTATCCTCTGTGAGCTAATTATTACATTTCCATGCTTCTATTAACCAATGAATTATCATTACTTGTTTAAGAGAAACCCTAACCCTATCTTCTGGCCTAGGATTTCAGCCTAAGACGGTTATACATTTTCTAGTGTTCATGGTGTTCCTTGATCTGCTAATGCTTTTGGTGTCAATAGTGGTTCCTTTGAAGTTTGAACAATTTGTTTGGGATAGAGTTTAATATGATGTTGCAATGTGTCCTGTGTTTACTGCTCTGTTGCCATACATAAGCCATCATTTGTTTTGCTGTTTTGGACTTGCTTTATATTTTGCATTTCTCTTCTGAATTCCGCTTTTGTTGTCTCAAGTCATTATATATATATTGTTCAATACAGAATACTAAATTTATTGTCCATATATCTCTAGATGCAAAATCTTGGGCTGGAACCATCATCCCATACTTATGATGGTTTGGCCAAAGCGATTATCCCAAGCAGAGGCATCAACGATACTTTGGAACTAGTAAGTTGTAAATCTCATACTTATCTGGTTTGCTGCTTGCTCTTGATATTAAATTAATCAAGAGCACTAATTCTGCTGCCCGTATGACAACATTTGCAGCTAAAAGTAATGCGAGTTAAAAATTTGAAGCCATATGATTCCACTCTTTCGACCCTTTCGATATGCTGCAGCAGAGCTTTGCACTTGGATTTGGCTGAAGACTTACTCAATCAGATTGCAGCAAGTCCTTATGCTTTTCCGTACAATGCTTTTCTTAGAGCATGTGATGTGATGGTAAATACATTTATCTTTATTATAGCTTTGTTATATGGTACAAAATGTTGGGCTGTATAGCATTGCAACGTGCATAAGATGAATGTGGAGGAGATGTGTATGTTGCGATGGATGTGTGGCCATAAAAGAAAGGATTGTTTGAGGAATGAGATTTAGAAAGAAAGTAGGGGTTACATCGATTGAGTACAAGATGAGGGAGAATCGCTTAAGATAGTTTCGCCATGTAAGAAGGAGAGCAAGTGAGGCTGCAGTAAGGCTTGAAGAGTTGCAAAGTCTTGGGATTGCGAGGGGTAGGGGAAAACCTAAGAGGGATGAGGGTGATTGAGAGTGATATGAGTGCTTTGGAGATTGAGGAAAATATGGTGTTTGATATGGTGGTGTGGAGGGAGAACATTCACTTCAACAATGTGTCATAATTATATATGATTATATACGAAGTATATACTTTTGTTTGTTTTATCTTAGTATTTACTTTTATTATTTTACCCAAGTCGTGTTTTATGAACTTTATTCATTTCCTTTGTTAAAATTTTCTCAAACCTTTATGTTTGTTACATTCATTTTTACCAATTCTTTAAAACTTTCTTGAATTTTATTTTTTGTTCTCTTTCAAAATAATTTAATTTTTACTTGGGTGCCTTTTCTTTTTCTCACTTTACACACCTTTTCAATCTCTTTCAATTGATTATCTTATTATATCCCTTTTTCTATATCGGACGAACCTTGTGACGATTCATGTTAGTCGACCCCAAATCATTTTGGGACTAACGCTTTGTTGTTGTTGTATACCTATGTGAATTAGGAGGTCTACTAAGGAAATAATTGTAGCACACCAAATCTTGAAAATCCATATATGAGGGTAAGATTATGCTACAGAATTTGGTTTTGTTGTCCTTGTATATGTTCAGATGGATCATTACTCTATTTGAAAATTTTCATATAAGTACACGTGCAAGAATATTCACTTTTTCTTTGGATAAGAAAGGGCGACAACAAATTTGGAGCGTGTTGAATTGATTTATATATCATTCTATCCTTCCAACATATTCAATCATTAAATTGCTAAACAAGTAATACTCCCTCCTTTTTTCTTAAGTGTTATGCTTTCTAAATGCAACTATTCTTTTTTAAGTGTTACACTTCCATTTTTGGCAGCTATTACATTTTAATGTTATCTCTCTCTCTCTCTTCTCATGATCTCCTCTCAAACCCACTACTACTTTTTTATTAGGATTTTTTTGTCAGAAACTACCTAATAAAAAAATGTTGTAAGAAACTATTTAATAAAAGGTACTACCTCTGACCGGATTCCATCGTTCACTTAATAAAAATGTTTTGACCCACCTCAAAACACCCCTGAAACCACTGCTTTCATCCCCAAAGCCAACACAATCCGCTTAAAACTGCCTCCACCACGCCGAAACTACCCTCCAACCCTAAAATCACCGCCCCTTACCCTAAAAACCACCATCTCGTAGCTTGAAACTACCCCCACGAACTCGAAATATCCCCTAACCACCCAAAAATAGCCTTACCACCTTGAAAACCAATCCTCGCAATGGTTTTGGGGATGTTTTGAGGTGGGTCAACGCCGGAAATCTAGGTCAATGGTGGAATCCGACAAGAGTTAGTATTTTACAACATCTTATCTTTTATTATGTAGTTTCTTACAACGTTTATTTTAATTGGTAGTTTCTCACAAAATTTGGGTTTTCTTAGGTAGTTTTTGACAATTCTTTTATTATTTATTTCCCTTTCACACCTCTTACTTTTTAATAAACTATTAACTCCACTATCTTTTCTTATCATTTTTAATACCTTAGCTACCCCACTTACATCTTATTTTATCATAAAGTCAATTAAATTATCTAAAATATGATAAAAGTGTAACACTTAAAAGAAAGAAAAAAGATAAAAAAGAGGGGGTATGATTTTTACTACTCCCTTCGTTTCGTAATAATGGCAACACTTTCCTTTTATGTCCATTTCATGATAAATGCACCACTTCCTTATTTGTTAAGGGCCCAACACTATTTTATTCTTTCTCCCCCCTACCAACCCCACTTACATTACTTTTTTTTTTTTTTTTTTTATTATTTCTCTTTCCTACTAACTATTAAATATATCCCTTCCAACTAGGGGTGGTTATTGGGCGGGTCGGTGCGGGTCATTAGCGGGGTGGGTCGGTTGCGGGTCATGATGACTATTTAGCGGGGCGGGTCGGGTCGGGTCAGGGTCGAGGTAAAAGTAAAACGGGCCATTAACCTTTTGGGCAAAATTACCAAGATTGCTCAAGGAACTTAAATTGTAGTGTAAATTCTAACTCTGACTCAATACTTAATCAAGCAATATTTATGGATGAATTTACATAGAGTTCTTGAGAAAGTTGAACAAATTGAAATGTATGAAATCACTAAAAGCTGATGAAATCTACAAAATATCTTATTATTGCATTGTTTTTATTTCTACATAAGAGTCTCTGATTCATAAACATTTGAAACTAGAAAAAACTACTAAATCAATCGTAAAGTGCTGAACTCAACTGACTAACTCAACCGACCAATACTTGTCAAATTTTTCAAGCATTGGTTTCACCATTTCCTTTAAATAATCATAAGGACCTTTCTCCGCCTCAAGCAAATGGCGATGCACCATCCATGCACCTTTAAAATACACATTAGAAGTAGGATAATTCACCGCCGAAAACATGTAACCTCATAAAACAACTCCAAAAAATTGTGAATCACGCTTACTTTTTCCCACTCATCCTCAAAAGGAATATATGATTGAAATGAAGCATGACTAAGTGAAGAAAAACATCTTTGAAGTAAAGAGAAGTGTCAAGCATTTTATACGTGGAATTCCAACGAACATGCATATCAAGGTTCAATTTCCTTTTTACATCAAGGTGAAATATCTTCTCCGCACAATCATAGAATTCTTCACTTCTATGAGAAGATTTGATGATCAACTTTATAAATGAACGAATTTTATCCAAAATTCCACTAATACAAGTCAATCCTTTTTGCACAATAAGATTAATAATATGGGCACAACACCGCACATGAAACAATGTCTCACCACAACTTAACCCTCCTCTAGGAACAAGACGTCTCTTCAAACAAGATATCATTGCATCATTATAAGTTGCATTAACAACGGTGATAGAGAGTATCCTATCATCTAATTTCCACCGGCAAAGAAACATACAAATCTCATTAGCAATACTTACCCCATCATATGGAGGAGCTAAGGCCCTAAACCTACGAATTTTTTTACGGAGTTTCCAAGAATCATCAACAAAGTGAGAAGTGACACAAATGAAATGTTGTCTAGTATGATTTGATTTCCAATTATCGGTTGTTAAACAAATTCTATCCGAAACATTAGACAAGAAATCTTTCAATTTATCCCTCTCCAATACATAAGCCTTCAATAAATCTCTCTTTGTGGTTGCACGGCCAAATGGTTTAAACTTAGGGGTAGCTCTTTTCATCATTCTCCTAAATACTTGTTCTTCAACCATAGTGAATGAATGACCTCCCTCAACAATGAAATTAAGAATCTCTTTTCGAAGTTCATTCATGTCAAAAACAAAATTTTCTTCATCACTATCTTCCTCAAATGTAAGTCCTAGAGGCCTATTTGTACACCTCTCTAAATGACGCTTCAAATGAGATGTACCACTATCACGATGTGCAGATAAAATAGAATTACAATGTACACATGTAGCAATTCTCTCACCTTGAACATTCTTCCCTTCAATAAGCTCTCTCCAAACTTTAGACCTCTTCTTTCTCTTTCGTTGCGGAGTGATGTATTCATTATATCCATCATCAGGTGCCGTAGAAGTAGTAGTAGTAGTATCATCATCCATATTAATTGTTTTGTCCTGCCAGCACATTTAGGAGTTCGATCAGGAGAATAGCAAAATCCGAAAACAGAATCTTATATGGTCTGTTCACCATGTTATATCATTTAGATCTAGTTTATATTGCCTTTAGCAGGTATCAAGTACAGGAATCAAATCTGTGGCTTTTTAATCAAATAAAGTTTCAAGAATTCCATTCCTAAAATAGTGAAATACTTCCAAAATTTCCCAAAAATTTCCACCCAAACAAGCTTTAACTTACTAGTGGTATAGGTTTGGAATCATTCAAACTTACGACAACCTGATCAAAACAAGGTAGAACTGAATAGACAAATACAAAAGCCTTCAAAGGTTGGTTTAAAGAAGAAAGCATTAATAAAAACAGAAACTCTGTACTGAATTTTTTTGTTGCTATTACCCTTCCAAAATGTGGGCCAGTGAGTATAATAAGGTCCAAATTTGCATGAGTCAAACTTAGAACTAAAAAATTAAAATCAATCCAACTTACAATAAATTAAATTTATCCATCTTTATCAAAGTACTACATATATTAGTAGATAATATGGGCTTTGTATGAATATATATGGATTAATAGTATACTTTATCAAGCCTTTATTGGTTTGATTTGATTCAAGTATTTTCAAATTGTAGCTAATATAGAAATGAAAACATCCAATGGCACAAGTGCAGAAAATATGTGACATGATTAGCACAGAAAATTAAGGGTTATATTCATTCATCTATGAGTTCAGATCAAACACAATTATAATCAAGCAAAAAAACTCCCAAATTATAATTAAAAACACCAAAATAAATTAGCATTAGCAACACCAAGAACAGCAGACTCATAAGTAGCAAAATTACCCACAATCCTTTTATCACTCTCCAAGCTCAAGTAAGAAGCAAAATCACCCAGAAGAAAATCCAATTTGAATTGATTTTCGATCACATCATATAACCTAAACCAGATCTTCAATCAGATATTAAAATTGAAGAACAGATTAAGAGAGAGAAAATGATGTTACCTGAGACTCTAAGTGCGCGGCTTCAATGGAGAACTCTGAGTGCGCTTTAATGGAGAACTCTGAAGTTGCGCTTCAATGGAGAACTCTGAGTGCTTTAATGGAAAATTCCGAAGTTGCGTTTCAATGGAGAACTCTGAGTGCGCTTCAATGGAGGAGAGAGAAAATAGAAGAGAGAGAAAATGGAAGAGAAGGTAGTAGCTGATTGCTGACCCTAACAATTATTATTGGGCTCTTTAGTTTAATTACTAAATTATTGGGCTATAAAATAAAACCCTATAAAAGCCCTATAAAATAAGACCCTATAAAAGCCCTGTCCATTAAAAAATTAAAGGGTCAAAACCCTTTAATATTAGGCCCGACACTTTTGCTATTGGGTAGCCCTACCCAATAACCAGGCCTACTTCCAACCATACTTTATATTATTAAACTCTTACTTTGGATCTCACCCTTTAATTTTCCTAAAACTGTGTGCCATGCCTACTATTGCAATTATTATGAAACTGAGGGAGTATAATAGAAACTAATTGGAAGTTTAAGATCCTTATTACAGTTGCGACTTGCGAGGCATGAATTTGCACTTGATAATTTAGCTGGTATGCTATTAAGCTAGTTTGTACTAATATTACTGAATCAAGAACAAGAAATTTATTCCTTTTCCATTTTAAATTATTATTCTTTGTAATCTTGGAGGCCTCTATATGGAAGTATAAGAATTTACCAATTCTACCAACCCTAGGGATCCGTAGGATTAATTGTAGATGTAAAATAATAATAGTAAATATGAGTTGTTTACCTTAGAAAGTGTTTTCTCTTCTTGATGATGGAAGAGGGCGCATATGCCTTGGTGTTTTGTTATTTTTATTCAAACATTTTTGTCTAGTTTTCTTCTGTTATATCCCTCACTATTCCACTGGGTGTAGCCAAAAGTCTTCAGAGGTTTATGAGAGACTTTATTCATGTGGAGTGAGGTGAAAATAGATAATCTCGAGGTGACAAGGTTATACTTGGGTTTTAGGACTATGTGTGGTTTAGATCCTGGGAACTTGGTGTCTAAGAGAATTTTCTTGGTGGGTTAGCTTCATTATGGGCTTAAACAGTTTGAGCTTTCCCAAACTTTCCTATAGGGAAGATGACGAGATATTAGGCTGATTTGTAGTTGTGTACTAGGTTAATCCCGCGCCTTGCACGATTTAAATAAAATTATTTATTTTATACTTCCTCTGTTCCCTTGATGTTACAAAATGGGTGGGGTGACACGGATTTTAAAAAGAGGAGAAAGATGGAGAGGAATAAAGATAGGGATTCATGTGATGAGGAGAGAGAAAGAGAGAAAACATGTGCAAATAGGGAAATGTTACTATTTTTCTGAAAATTCTTAAAATGGTAATTGTTAAAGTATTTTTGGAATGAAGGAAGTATAAAGTAGTCTCTAATCTTTGTTCGGAATATGTGGTTATAATTTCATTCATTTTTTTTTAAAAGTTGTTTATTTAGCCTTAGAACTTCAGAGGGAAAAAGTTAAAAAGGTTGATGTTATAAATAGCTTTTTCACAAGTTGACATATAATGATGTCAGCAATGACTTTATTAATGATAGCTATATAATATATTTTAGGTTACTTCATGAGGACTCCTTATAATATATTTTAGTTCTAATGTAAATTTTATTGTCAAAAAGAAAAAAGAAAAGAGTGCTTATAAGATTTTGCTTGTACTCCAAAATTGGATTTATCAAAATATATTATTTTGAAGAAAGGAGTACACTATGTAGAGGGCGTGTGGTTGTGGTTGTCTTTAGATTCTTGTTTGTAGCTGATATTGTGTTAATTCTTTTTGATGCCTAGAATTAAGAATTGTGCTTATCATTTTACAAACCAATGAATTTGTACTCTAGGCTTGAATAAGTCTTAGGTAGTCTAGATTTTGGGGTTCCATATTGTTTTTCTTCTTAAGTGGGTGTCAGATTCTTGAAATTTACATCTATTTAGTCCCTTTATGGAAAAAAATGTATTTGGAAGCCGGGTGTTTGAAAAAAATCTCATAAATTAAACTGGTGATTAGAGCTTAGTTCTTGTTAGGGTGGTGTAATCGTAGTCTTGTCTGTCTATCACTCTTGCTGTACCTGTCCTCTTTGGAGTTCATGCAGGTGTTGGGGAGAAGTTGAAGAGTGATGATATATTTTTTTGTGCTCGACGTCAAGCAGGACCTAAGGGATCACTTTTAATATAAAAAAAGTATATTATAGATTGAAGTACAGAGAAAGAAAACAAGCTAATCAAACAGAAAAACCAATATTACAAAGTATCCAAATCTCATTAAATTTGCCCCTACCACCTTAGCCCATAACAAGTTAACAATGCTAAGTAAGTGACTTTTTCCCACAATGTAGGATACTTGTGAAAAGACACTGTAGTATTAAACTGTTCTAGCATTCATTTCCTGTATTCCACGTTTTCTTGAGGGAACAAGTTCAGGATAATAACACGCTTGGAAGTACCATGACTCCATGAGACTCGCTTTTAAAGCAGGTTGTGGGACTGAAATCTTGGCATAAAGTATTTATATAATTTGATAAAACTGAGGCTGGTTTCCTATCATCATCTTGATACTTTGCTATTGCTGAAGAATTGCTTCACTGATATGTAATTTTGACACCACTGATATCTGTAGGATCAACCTGAACGTGCTATCAAAATGTTGGCTAAGATGAGAAAAGTGAAAATTAAGCCAGATATCACAACATATGAGCTGCTATTATCTTTATTTGGGAATGTCAATGCCCCATATGAAGAAGGTAACTTGTTATCGCATGCAGATGTTGCTAAAAGGATCAACATCATAGAAATGGATATGCTCCAAAATGGAATTCAGCACAGTCAGCATTCGATGAATAATTTGGTAAAAAAAAAAAAAAACTTTTATTTTTTATTTTTTTTTATTGTGATATGGTTTAACTTTTCTTCGAATGCAATGTTTGTGGCTAGGTGTGCATATTATCATTTGTGTTACCAAGTATATGTTGAAATATACTTTCCTTCTTCATTTGTGTTACAATGATCATTGAGTAGTGAGCTTCTGATTGTGATGATGGTCTTTGCATATTCTTGCAATTTTGTTTAACAAGTGTTGACTGTGGTTTCTTATCTTCTACGATAGCTAGTCCATGTGTTGTTGGTGGATAAACAAGTTGATAATACACATTGTATTTCGCTGATTGATTATCCTGCATTGCAATTGGAATATATGGACTTTGATTTAGCATCTTCATTATTCTTACTTGGTATACGTAGATATGTGACAGCTTTGTGCATTTTGCCCATTGATTTATTTCACTGCTCCCCTCTATAGCAACAAAAGGATTTAAAAATTGCTAAAAGTTGTTGAAATTGAGGTAGGGCATATTGGCTTCATCTCCTACGTTTTATACCATGTATTCTAGATTTTGCTGGCTGTGGCTCTAAATGAAGTTGAGGTTGATCATCCTTCCCATATTTTGGTTGTCTGAGGTCATTCACATAATCATTGGTAAGCTTGCCGTAATGAGGATAGGACTCAAAAACAGACTGGTTACATTGATGCACAAATGATGTTTGCTTTCCTTGTGGGCTTGACCTCTAATAAAATTCTAACATGGCTGTGAACTGTTGGACTCCTTTGATTGAGATGAAAAATCCATGTTCCATTTATGATCATTATACTGGTACATTTATTGAATTTTATATGTACTTCCTCCGTTTTCTTTTATTTGCAACACTTCCTATCAATGGTAATGTCATTTTAAATACACGCTTCTTTTTTTTTTTTTTCCTCTGTGCAAAATTACATTTTAATCCTTAAATAAAGTCATATCTTTGGACCTTGCATCGCCATATGAAGCATCATAAGCTATGAACTTTTTTTTTTTTTTTTGGTTATTGTAGATTCTAGTTCGATGTTCAAGTGGATGTTGCTGTAGTGAATTGCTAAAAAGTTGAACATTTTATGGTATTTGACATTAATTTACCTTGAAGTAATGGTTGAGTTACTAATCTAGGTGGACAACACCAATACCATTGAGATATTGCACCTCTGCCATGTTCATAAGTTGAAGATGTTTTGTAGTTTATGGCCATTTTATGTTTTCTTGTGATGCTAATTCCAAGGGGGTTTTGGGAGAATTGAAGTAGGATAACGCGGAGAACTGTCATCTATATGACTATATTACTCAGATTAGATTACCTGTGAGTTGTGATGGACCCGAGTGCCTATCTATGTGTTTGACTTTTCTTTTTTGTGAAAAGTTATTTGATTTTTACCCAAAATGAATTACTGAAGTTTCCATGCCCCTGTTGCAATGTCGATGATCTGACATAAATACTTGAGGTGGAATAAAGAGTCCGAGTAGAATAGATTGTTATATGTCATAGCATTACCTTGTTGCCTCATATGAGTCTCTTACTTACTCTCTAGAAGGGCATTGACTGACTTGCACATGCCACTATACAACATAACTTAGTTGGGACTTAAATTTTTTATGGTGCCATTAACAGCTTAAATTTTGTCCGATGATGGGTCAAGTATGTTTTGCAGGTTGGTTTGAATTATTTGCTACTGTGGAGTTGCTGTATAAAAACTTAAAAGGCAGAAAATTGTTAGCTTCATTAAGGTTCATCTGTCATAATAGTTTCTATAATATCATCTGTAGTTTGAATTTATTTATTATATGTTGAATTTTATAAATTTTCAAGTAGGTTATATGTATTGAATATAGATGTGAGACAATTGGGTGCTTTGTTCTCCTGAAACACATCATGCTCTGTGCAATTTATCATCTGAATATAATGTATTAGATTTTCTCCTCTGGCTTCATCTTTTTTGAAGTTGGCAGCCCTTAAATCAGATGGGGTGCTTTTGTTCTTCTGAAATGTATCATGCTTTATGTATTGTATTATCCAAATATATAATGTTTTCATGTCAATTCACCCCTGGGTTTCTATGCTCTGAAGTTAAAAGCCTTTGGCTCAGAAGGGATGGTGCAGGAGCTGCTAAAGTACTTGCATCGAGCAGAAAGCCAGTCCTTGGTCAATAATTATCTTGGAACAGATATTTATAATACAGTACTGCATTCACTTGTTGAGGCTAAAGAGGTGTGCTCTTCCTACAATCTTCTCTATCAGCCAGGAATCTATTTCCCCATTGATGACTGCTTTAATTTTTTGCTTATTGTGCAGAATCACAAGGCAATTGAAATTTTCAGAAAAATGAAACTATGTGGGATCAAGCTTGATGCCGCTACTTACAATATTATGATTGATTGCTGCTCAAATATTCGTTGTTTCAAGTCTGCATGTGCTTTGGTTTCGATGATGGTTCGTGATGGCTTTTCTCCTCAGATGTTAACATATACTGCACTTATAAAGGTATTGGTTCATTAGAATTTGTCTCAAAGCATAGTAATTATTAGTTTTTTACTTTTTATTTGTTGACGTTGGCATAGTATGTGGATTGACCCGCTCACTCTACATCTCTAATCATTGTGAATCTAAGCTAGAGGTAAAGCAAAGGGTGAGAGTATGAGGTGGACCATATTCCTCACACAATCAAATTCATACATTTTCACGTGAAGTCATAGCTCATTTGCCTTCAATTGTAACGCTAGGATTAATTCGTGAATGGTGTTGCAGTTTGTACTTTGAGGCATAGGCTTATGTCTGCCACCCTGCCTTTGGGAATTTCCTTTATTACTTTCAACCTTTTTTTTTTTTCCTTTTAATCTATTGCAACACTTGCCTTTTGGTGGTCAAACTTTAGAGATAAATTCTACATGGTGGCCTAGTATGTTTGCAAATTCCATTTGGTGGTTTTTTTATTTAGTTTTTTTGCCGTTTTCTTTCATGACTCTTTGCTTTTACATATATTACTAGGATGTGCCAATTGTCATATACATGGCTAATTTAGGCTTAAAATTTAAAAGGAAATTTTAGAAAATAACACCACAAAAAAACACAAAGTTTGATTATAACACCACAAAAAAAAAATTAAAAAAAACTCACAAATTTGATTTCACCACCACTTAATAGATTCTTGGAAGGAATCCGTTAGTGGGGCCCATAATTTGACACATGTCAGTAGCTTATAGGTTTAAAAAATTGAATTAATAAAAAGAAAAAAAAAAAAAAAAGAAAATCCCTTAACCCAGCTAGCCCCACCACCGGCGCCACCTTGCCTCAGTCGCCGACACCGTAAACCAGGCCGCCGACACCCATCTCCCCCACCAAAACTGGTGAAACCACCCCACGCCGCCGAATTTTTCCTTCCCCCTCCCCGAAAACCACCCACGTCGCCGAAATCCTCTCCCACACCAACCCAAAAACCGCCCATGTCGCCGAAATCCTCTCCCACACAACCCAAAAACCACCCACGTTGCCGAAATCCTCTCTCACACCATCGTCGTCGAAACCCTCTCCCCTACCCAGAGCCGTCGTCGAAACCCCAACCCACACCAACTCAAAAACCGCTCTCACCTGAACCCTAACCCGTTTCCAGAAACCGAATTAAATCGGGGCTAAGGCTGAGCTGGGTACGGCGTTTAAGGGTTAGGGTGGTGCGTCGTTCAGGTGGTCAGTCGGTTGAGGGTGGTCGGCTGGGGGAACCAGCAGCGGCGGTGGGCAGGGGGAACCGACGCCGGTGGTGAGTACGGTGGCTGGGTTAGGATTTTAGGGTTTTTCATTTTTTTTTTTTTCTGTTTTTTTAATCCAATATATAGCTGACACTTATACTATGTGGGGCCCACTAATGGTTTTTTGGATGGCGTTAGTAAGTGGTGTTGAAATCGAATTTTTTGGTTTTTTTGTGGTGTTATAATAAAACTTTTAAATTTTGTGGTGTTATAATTAAAATTTGTGTTTTTTTGTGGTGTTATTTTCTAAAATTTTCAATTTAAAAATACTAACTTACCCGTATAGTTAATGCATTCTACAACTCCCTAACCATGTTGCCCCCTTGCTTGGCCCAACCAAGCCCACCAGGCCACCAGCCCTACATCACCACCTTTGACCCACCACCTCACCCACTGACTACATCTGATGACCATACTCAACCAACTTTGGCTACCACTTCCTCACCCTCTGATCTTCACTAGATTTAGTATTTAAAGGAATACACGTGAAAATATAGATAGGAGTGAAGGACTCAAGGTGAAGGTAGTTTTCAAAGGGTTAGGTGGTCGTCTGGAGAGTTAAATGGTGGTTTTAAAAGGTTTGGGTGGTGGTTTTATGGGTGGTGTGGAGTTTTTCAATGGGTGGGTGGGTTATTTGGGGTTTAAGTGGTGGTTTTTGGTGGGTTTGGTTTTGGTTGTGGATACCGGTTGGTTGGTTAAGGTGTTGGGGGTGGTAAGTTGGTCAAGAGGGATGTTAAGTTGTTTACTATAACTAGTTAGAAATTCTATGATTAAAGTTAAACAAACATTTATTAAATGATGGGTTAGCCATTTAAATGAGCCAAGAGGCGCATTATGTGTACGTGCATAACCACAGGGTCACTTGAGAAAATGACAAAATAAATATGTTCCACCAAGTGGAATTTGTGATAGTATGAAGCTATCATGTAGAATATCCCATAAATTTTTTACCGTGTTAGATCTTGTAAAATTCATTAAATGTGTAGAGTATTTCACAGTATTTACTGACATAAATATATTACTATGTGAGATCTTGTAAAATCACTTGTCAAAGGTTTGCATTCGGGTCTGTGAAAAAGAAAGTGTTGCTTTAACAAAGCAGGGGAAGTATTTTGTTGATATGAGCTTATTGTGATAATAGATTGCTTATCTTTCCTCCCCCTCTTTCCTTTGGGATAACAAATATACACACACACACACACACACACACACACACACACACACATATATATATATATATATATATTTGTTTTGAAAAAAATAGTTTAGTATGTTCATAACTGATTGTATGAAAGTTATACCTAGATTATTATGGAATTGTGAATTTTCGAGCTGTTGAGAGCTTAAGTTTTATCCATGAATTTTTTACCCAGTTACCTTTATATATACAGCTGCTGTTAACATTGACATCACTGCTATAGTGCTATGTGATGTATCTAAAGAAATGTTCATTGATGGAAAGTGCTATACTGTTGTCTTACTTTATAACTTGACTTATAATTACCTCTAAGAGCTTTATGTTTTTAGAGGTGTTTGCTTTTCAAAATTGTATAGTCTCACCAAGTCAAAAGATATAAATTGCAACCCAAGCTTTAAAATTGTGATCATGTTTTCTGGTTTGTTAGTTCTTGCTACGATATTTGTAGTTCCGTTGCACTTGAGTACCCAAACATCTGTGATGCAAGCTTTTGTGTTTGCATTAATTTTCTTTACGTCTTCAGATTCTGTTGGAATATGATGCTTTCACTGATGCTGTGGATCTTCTTGAGCAAGCTATATCAGAAGGAAAGAAACCTGATGTATTGCTTTTCAATCCCATTCTTCTAAAAGCAAGTTTAAAGGTAGGTATTTATTTATGTTCCGTCAAACATATTTCCTATTTTAATTGTTCAATCTTTTGTTATACATGTAAGGGTAGTCGGAACCCCTACATACTTTAAGCAAAACAATATTATGATTGCCTAGTATATAGATCGGTGCCTTAAATACATTTAAAATTCAAGGTTCCCTTATCTCTGCTGTGGAGTGAAGCAAGCTATGAATCGTGTGATTGCATATTTGCATCTGCAGTTCCTTTGAATTTGAGGATCACTGTAAAGTGTAGCCAAACATGGCCCTATCATCTAATCCTATTTTATGCAATTTGTTGCCTTGACGATCTTATTTTCATAAATACTTCCAGAAAAATATTAATGTTTCAAAGTCTACTGGGAGCTTTTCAATCTTCTGTATATCTATATCCAATAAAAAAATTATAGCAATATCCAAGGTAAGGCTGATAGAATTACTCGTTTACTGGGTGCATTGCATCTTTCCATATGTCTATTTTTTATGTTTATTGTATTAGCACGATTTGCAGCATCTCAACTACCTTATTGGAAAGTTGTATTATTTTCCTGTCTTGTTTGAACAAATGCTAAAATATGCTTTCCTTTATATTTCCCCCTCTTTTCTTTGTTTCTTTTAGGGCTAGCAGTTTAACCAATGTTTTTCCTATTGCTTTCTTTATGAAAATGCTCAATTGCCGCAAGGCAGCTAGTGTGTTAATCTCCTTCTTGCTTATGATTTTGAGCATCTTGTGAGCACTTTTGCTTTCATGTAATGATGCAGGGAAGGATCGATGTTATCGAGATTGTGATTCAGGCAATGCATAGGGAGAAGATCCAACCAGATCAATCAACCTGTAGTCATGTATTTAGTGCTTATGTTGAGAGAGGGTTTCTTGGCACTGCAGTAGAGGCGTTGCAGGTCTTGAGCTTGCGAATGATCTCCCTAGATTATGAGACTCTCAAGGATATGAGAAGGTTGTATGAGAATCTCATTCTTAGTGAAGAACAAAATGCTGACACACGTATATTACAGATGTTCCGAGATTCCGAGAACCTTGTTGCTGCTCTGTTGAATCTAAGATGGTGCTCCTTTGTTGGGTCCTCAATTTCATGGGTGCCTGATGAGAGTCCATGGGCCAAACGACTTGTGAGTGTTGCTGCCCAAACAACAGATGTCTTGTGAAAGAGCACATGAACTTTGACTGTCATATGGTGAATTGGAAATGAAGCTTTTAGCCAATTGACTGGATTCCACTCCTGCCATGTATTTTGAGGAGGTCTCTTTCTCAATATATTGTGGTGTGCTGGTGTCAAGTGAAAATGAAGCATACAATGCAATTGAAACGCTCTCATCAAGTCATCTGCTCTTTTCCTAATTGGAACTGAAGTGTTGGTTGATATGCTTGTGCAATTTTTGTTCTATCAGCATCACCCGAGGTTCCTTCTTACATTTTTGGACTGCTTATGATGGGATAGAGAGGTGGTTACTCGCTGAAAGATTTTCCTCTCCCTGCAATGAACAAGGAGAAACAATCTCATACCAAAGAGTTTCCAGTCAGTCATGTTTATTTGAATGATGACAACAGCTCGATGGCGATGTGACTATAGGTTGAGAGGGCATCCTTTCTTACAGGACTCAGATGTACGAAGTATTTTAATTTGGTATTTCAATATTCAAAAATACAGTGTGTGATGGTTAATAATGGCTAAAGCAGTACATGTAAAGGATTGTAATTCTCTTTTTTGGATGAAATCTGTCTTAATTATCTATAGGAAATGTTAAAGAATTCAAGGAGGACCATTTGCTTGTCTTTTTGTAATGATATACTTCGTACTTGTATATGGTTGCTAATTCTGGTTTTTATTTAAATTAACTACTACGGAGTATATTTTTTCAATAATAACGAAACAAATGTTTTTGCATAACTTAAGTATTGTTCTCTTTACATTTTTTAGTATATTCTGATATGAATTTTTTTTTTTTCTTTTCAAATTTTAGTTTGGTTTGTATTGTTATAGTTTGGTGTTCTAGTCTGCCTCATGAACTTAGTACTATCTAATATGGCCTATTTTTAACATGGATGAATATTCTGCTTCTGTTTTTTTAAGTGCGCCATTTGAATGTTTTTAGTAATCTCACATTTTTTTAACTATATTTTGTGTTTTATGTAAGAAAAAAATATAGTTACAATTGGTCTAAGCTGCAGCCTTGTGCGGCTAGCTGCAACACCAGCCCATAAGCCCAATTTCGAACGCGCCCCATAAAAAAAAAAGCCCAAATCAAAACTAGCCCATCCAAAAAGTTGAACATATCACCCAATTGTCATTTATACAAAACCGTCACTTCCAACAGGTATTTTATTTTAAATATAATTTTAAAAAAAGAAAATCGTCACTCTCAAACTTAAATTTCTGAAATTTATTACTTTTCTCTTTGTTTTTCTCTCTCTTACAATCAAACACAATTCACTCTCTCTCTTCCAAAACAATCATGAATATTTGAGATGAGATGAAAATCAAACGAATTCTCCCAAAAAAAGGTAATTTTATGTAAATTTCACTTAATTTTGTTTGAAGTTATATGAATATCACTTAATTTTATTTGAATATTGTTCGATACTCAATTGTTCGAAATTTTTATTAGAACTGTTAAAAAATTTATTAGTGAAATCAAACGGATACCTTATGTTCATAAAATGTTTTGAAATGTTCATAATATTATTATTTGTTGTTCATATGATAAATATTCTTAATATTCATAAAATGTTCTCATTTTGTCCGTTTTGTATGTTTATGCTTGTGTTCATATTTTGAATGCTTATGTTCACTTTCTGAAATGCATATGTTCATATTTTTTATGCATATGTTCACTTTCGTTCTTAAATGCTTATGTTCATATTTTAAATCCTTTTGTAAACTTTTTGAAATGCATATGTTCACTTTCTAAAATCCATATGTCATATTTTTTATGTATATGTTCACCTTCTAAAATGATTAATTATGTTCATACACATTCAAAAAATGAACCAATGCATATGTACATATTTTGAATGTGTATGTTCATTTTCTAAAATGCACATATTCATATTTTTAATGCTTATAATGCGTATGTTTCATAATCATTTTATTTTTTTTATTTCTTCAATTTTCTTGTGTTCATAATTACAGGCCGTAAGTTCAATTCATATGAATTACATGTTCACGAACCTAATCAAATTGATCAAAATTCATTACAAAATCACCACAAAAAAAAAAACGAAATTCATACATAGATCAAATTGATAGAAATTAAACAAAATACAATTACAAAGGAGAGAGAAAATGAAGATCGAAAGAGGAAAAAATAGAGAATAAAATTTTGATGAAAATTATGATTGAAATTTTGATGAAAATTTTGATTATAATTATTATTGGAAAGAAAATTGAAGAGAAAATTACTAAAATCAATTTGTGTTCATCACCTATTACAAATTGGCAAATTACCTTAAAAATTATATATGCAATATCAATCACAAATTCAGCATATATAACCAATTAAACCAAATTACAAATCAATAACATAAACTAACTTATATCAACAATCTCTTCAAGATTCCAATTAAAACCATCACGAATCAACGAAAATACAAAAAATGGAGGAGAGAAAAAATCTTAAAAGAAGAAGATAATGCCAAACACAGTGGAGAGAGAAAATTTCAACCAAAATTAAGAATTAAGAAAAGAATTTGGAAAAAAGAGAAAAATTTATATAAAAATTAAGAACTAAGGAAAGAAATAAAATAGGAAGAAGATTGAAGGAAGGAGATGAAGTAATATACAGCAGTACTCTAGTAGTACATAATATATGTGTGTGATTGGTGTATAAAATGGGGTATTTGATGAGTGGTGCATCCATCTTAGATGCACCCTATCTAAGAATATGCCCAGGTTGCTGGATTTTCAGCACCGAATGGGCATTCTTCAGTAATTCTAGATCAGCCCATCTCATCACAGTCCGCTGATTTATCAACATCAAGTGGGCTTTCCTTGGCAGCTTTGGATCGATCCAACGAGAATATGGAACAAGGATTTCGTACTAAATTCCCAAATGTGAAGCATCGAGATTTTCTGACTCACACGGTTATTGCTAATAGTTCGTCCTCCGATTCCTTTTCTACATCCAATCACTCCTTAGGTACCCCTTATCCTCTAGCACATTATATAAATTCTGACAATTTTTCTGTAAATTATCGGAGATTTCTTGCAGCCATTATCAAGGGTAAAGACCCAAAATCTTTTAAGGAGGCAATGAAACATGAAGGATGGCGTTAATCCATGAAAGAAGAAATATGTGCTCTGGAGGACAACGATACATGGACGTTGGAGCATCTTCCTCCCGAGAAGTGTGCTCTCGGCAGTCAATGGTTCTATAAGACCAAATATTTGTCCAATGGAGATATTGAGCATCTCAAATCACGATTAGTGGTATTTGGTAATCATCAAGAAGCAGGAATTGACTATAATGAGACATTTGCTCTTGTTGCCAAGATGACCACAATTTACGCATTTCTTGCAATAGCGGCATCCAAGAATTGGGAATTACATCAAACGGACGTCCATAATGCCTTCTTGCATGGTGACCTTGATGAAGAGGTCTATATGAAATTACCCTGGCTTTGAGAGTTCGGATCCATCTTTGGTGTGTCGACTACGCAAATCGTTGTATGGCTTGAAACAAGCTCCTAGACGTTGGTTTGCTAAGTTGGTGTCGGCTTTGAAAGGGTATGGCTTTCTTCAATATTATTCAGATTATTCTCTCTTCACATTAACTAAAGGCAGTGTTCAAATTAATGTCTTAGTTTGTGTTGATGATCTTATTATCTCTTGAAATGATTCCGCAGCACTTACAATTTTCAAAGCCTATCTTAGTGATTGTTTTAAAATGAAAGATCTCGGGGGTCTCAAGTATTTCTTGGGTATAGAACTTGATCATAGTTCATCTGGTTTGTTTTTATGCCAACGCAAGTACACATTGGATATAATCTCTGAAACAGGTTTGTTGGGTGCTAAGCCAAGTGGTTTTCCGATAGAGCAAAATCACAAGCTCGGACTTGCTAGTGGCGAACTCTTGGAAGATCCCAAAGTTTACCGCAGGCTTGTGGGGCGTTTAATATATCTTGCGGTCACTCGACCGGATTTAGCCTATTCGATGCACATATTGTCCCAATTCATGCAAGAGCCACGCATTGAACATTGGGAAGCAGCACTTCGAGTAGTGCGTTATTTGAAAGGCACTCCGGGTCAGGGCATTTTGTTGAGAGCATATAGTGAGTTAACTTTGGAAGGTTGGTGTGGATTCAAATGTGGATTGCTAAACATCGCCCGCAAATCTCCACATAAAGCCCACAAACTTATATTGAAGTTACAATATTGCCCTTGACCTTAAAAAAAAACACAACCTCAATAAAAATCAAAGTACGGGGATGTCGAGGCTCGTGGCGGCAAGGTGGTTGGCTCGTGGAGGCAAGGTAGTGGTGGCTCGTGGCGGCAAGGTGGTGGTGGCGCCAGGTCCGGCAGCCACGTCCACCGGCCTGGCGTCTGGGCAGGACGCCCAGCCACGGTGAGTGGCGTTTGGGACAGGCGCCAGTCACTGTGGCTGGGCGTCCTGCCCAGACGCCAGGCCGGTGGACGTGGCTGCCGGACCTGGCGCCACCACCAGCCACGGGCCGTCCTGGCCAGGCGCCCCAGCTGCCTTAAATTTTTATTTTGGAAAATCAGAAAAATTTTCTAATTTTTTTTTTAATGTGTTTGATTTTTTTTTTTTAATATTTATTAATTTTATGTGTTATTTTTTATAAGTCTAGTATATATATTTTTTATAAAATCAAATAAAAAACATAAATTTCCACATCCTAAATCAAAACATAAATTTAATAAACGTAATTTAAAAAAAAAAAGGTAAAAAAAAAAAAATTAAAAAGTAAGGGCGGCGTCCAAACCAGACGCCAGTGCACTGGTGGTGGCGCCTGGCCTGGACGCCAGTGCACTGGTTGAGGCGCCTGGGCTAGACGCCAGTGCACTGGTTGTGGCGTCTGGCCTGGACGCCAGTGCACTGGTTGTGGCGCCTTGCCTGGACGTCCTTGCCATGGTTCCGGCGTCCAAACTAGACGCCACCTCGTTTTCCGTCGAAGACGACGTATCTCCGGCGACCCTCGCCTCTCTGGCCTCCCTGGGCAACCCAGTACGACTCCACATTTGTTAGATCGAGATTTGTTCACTTTGGGTACGATTTTAGAAATGGGCAAAATTGTCAAACCATGTTTAATTTGTGGGCTTTATGTGGAGATTTGCGGGCGATGTTTAACAAATCCCATTCAAATTGGGCAGCTTGCCCTCTTACCCGTTGCTCGTTAACAGGTTGGCTCGTCTTTCTAGGGCAATCCCCTATTTCTTGGAAGACAAAGAAGCAGCATACAGTGTCTAAATCTTCCGCGGAGGCAGAATATCGATCAATGGTAGCAATCACCTGCGAATTAAAGTGGCTTAAAGGTTTGTTGTTAAGTTTGGGTGTGCAACATGCTAATGCTATAAAACTCTTTTGTGGTAGTGAATCAGCTTTACACATAGCTAAGAATCCTGTTTTCCATGAGCAAACAAAACACATCGAGGTTGATTGTCACTTTGTTCGTGATGCGATAAATGAAGGTTTGATTTTTCCTACTCATGTCTCCACATCATCACAGCTAGCGGATATTTTCACAAAGGCACTCGGGAAATCTCAATTTGATTATCTACTTTCCAAGTTGGGCATTTTCAAATCTCATGCTCCAACTTGAGGGGGGTATTGAGATATATCAAGATATTATATGGGAATATATTTATGTTAAGATATATTATGTAAAATATAGGATGTATTTTGGTAGATTCTACTGATATTCTATCTCTAAAGATATTGTTTGACTAGAATTAAGAATCGTAGGATTGTATTATATATTGTGGCTTTGCTGCCTAATGAATACAAGCTTGAGCATTCATCAATTCTACATATTCAGAAAGAAAATTCCTTCTGTTTAGATATTGTATGATTTTTATCGTTTTTTTTCTCCAAAACATTCTGTGATCATTCTGTTGGATAATTGCCAAAAATAATAAACACAAATATGGAACAGTAGTAGACTAGTAGTATTTTTATTAGTCAAATATCACAGTACTTATAATAAGGCCCTGTTCACTTCACCTTATTTTTGCTGAACTGAAATTATTTTTATTGAAATGAAATTATTTTTGCTGAACTTAAATTATTTATACAGAACTGAAATTATTTTTGTTGAACTGAAATTATTTTTACTGATTTTCTGGTATATTTCTTCTTTAAAGTTACTGATTTTACTAAACTGAAATTATTTTTACTGAATTAAACTTATTTTTGTTGAAGTGAAATTATTTTTACTGAATTGAAATTATTTTTTCTGAATATTATTTTTTTAAAGCAAAGTGAACAGCGCCTAACAATCAAGTAGCACAAAGGTAAAATAATAGTAGAAGAATGAGTTTAGAATAGCCTGGGTTGTTGCACGCAACGCGCTATCCTTAGGGAGAAAATGCCCCACTGAACTGGTAGAATGTATTTATGCGCTCCTCTCCCAAAATACGACAACCCGTTGGATCGATTGTATGCAGCAAAAGACCCCCGAACCAAATTACACCAATGCTCCGTAATAATTATGATATTGCTTGATTTTAATATAATAGGAAATTTTGTGGACTGTTTTTGCTCTACCTTTGGCCGGAATCATTTGCAACATATATATAGAAGCTGTAAAAGTGTACGTAGGAAAGAGGTTAAGGATGTTGCTAAAAAAAAGGAGAACATGCTCCTTAAAATTCTTTCACAACTCTAATATCAAAAGTTATTGTTAAGTTGTTCCTTGATTATAGGAGCAATTAACAACTTAAGCAAAACCAACAAAATATCCAACGGCTAAGTTAAAAGAGCATTTAAAGTAAATAAAAATAAATTTTTATCTTCAAATTTTAAATTATTAAAAGAAAATAGAATTTACTTTAATTTCCAACACATTCCTTGTAAGTTTTTACATATATGGGTGTGACTGTGTGAGTCCATGCAATAACATTTGTATGTGATTATTTCTGATTTCATGATATAGAATGTGCGTTCAGCAATGAAGTTGTGACAAAATTGTGCATTAATTTCTAGTACTCATCAATGACCTGTAATTGCATTCCACAAGTTTGTGGTTTTATTGATGTCCATTTTATTCTGTTAAATCAAATAAACATGCTTATCTCTAAGTTCATCATTGAGTATTGTTGTGTTACTTAGCTGTCTGCAAGATTGTAGCTGTAGTTTTATTGATCGTTCTTATTTGGAACGAAGATGGGTTACGAGGTGTGAGTACTCTAAATTAATACACTTTGTGTTTATCATTCAACATTTCCTTAACTTGGGAGCTGTAGTCTTCCTCAATTTCACTTAGTATCGTGTTTTATATCATCCATCCTACCTCACCGTGATTATACCATCTCAATAACCTTATAAAGCTGGAAGTCTCTGAAATTTCGGGATGGTCAGGATATTTTCTGATATACAAGAAGTATTTAAGCTAAAAATTGAGTTGGCATGGGAAATTTATAGACTGTTTATGTATATTATGAGATAGTTGAAATATGGTTTGGTGAATTGAAGAGGCCGGAAGACCAATGGTAGAGTGGATGACTTTGTAAGGTGGTTTGGTTCTCATAAGATGCGTGGGAGGTCTGAAGAGTTTAAGCAACATTGGTAGTAAGCACCTTGACGATGCATAAGAGAGCTGGGATTGGAGTTCAGGGAACAGAAGACAAAAGGCACAGCTAACATATGATTCAATTGCTTTCTTTTCCATGGCTAATATTAATCAGACATTGTATACATTATACTGCGATAAACTTTCTTATACTGTATGAAGAAGTTATTCAATTTTTTTTTTGTAAATTAAAAACAAATAAACAATGTTATTAGAAAATCAAAACATCTGCAAACATAATGAAATCACTTTGCACTACATTGTTGTGCCTGTTCTCAGTCAGTTAGAACTTGGACTGAATGTACTTGATGACATTAGCATCAAGCTGAAAGGCCTTGGAAAGAACATCAACCGAGATAGGTGCTTCAGAGCCAAAAACAGCGTTACCAACAGTGACCACACCTGGATTCTGGCTACTCAAAGCAGAAATGCCAAAAGCAGGAGTTTTGCCAACATTGAGCTGAAAGTGAACAAGACCTTGTGGAAAAACAAACACGTCTCCCTTTTTGAGAACCTTAGTAAAGAGCTTGTTTGCACTATTATCTGCTGGGTTAGAGGTCACAAAACCAACATAGATGGTACCCTCCATCACTGTGAAAACCTCAGTGGCACGGGGGTGTGTGTGGGGAGCAACAAGGCCATATGGGGCAAAGTCGAGCTTGGCAAGTGATATGCCAAGGGTGTTGAGTCCAGGCAGTTGTGCTGCTGCCACTGGAGTCACTGCTGAGCCTAACTTATTGTTGGTGTTACCAGGTTTGTCTAGCCCGTTGGTGAAGAAATCTTCTGCTGTAACTGCCATTGGATTCTTGCAGAATAGCCCATTTACGAACACTGCAGATAATAAATAGCAGAACATAAATCAGTGTTATTGCTTAGAAAAAAAACAATTAACTCCTACTTAGATACAAATATTGGAATATCATGCAGTTAAAACAGGAATTAAATCTTACATGCATTTTTAGGGTCATTTGTGGTGACACAAAAGTCTTGGAGCTGTGTAGGATCAGTGGCAAAGGCTACACTAGATGTTAGAGCTAATAGAGTTAAGTATGCAAAGAATCTGTGAGCTGCCATGGTTTCTGATGTCTGAGTTATCGTGTAGTTTCTGCTGTAAGATAATGAACTTTTATTTCTTTTGTATGAGTTGGAGAACTTGTAAGCAGTGATGGTTTCTTGCTTGGGAAAGCACCCTTTTTATAGGTTTAGATCGTGGATTATATTGATTTGGAGTTGAATTGGTCATATTTTTCTAGAGCACGTAAATTTGTCAAGAAATATTACCATGTCATGTTAACTAAGTCCTTAAGGTAGTTGATTTATAACTTATATTACTCTTTTGAGCAGGTACTGACTTGGTATTGCCTGCCAATTTCTGTGCTCACAAACAATCCTTGGAGTATTTGTTGTTATAAATCTATGAAATCAGTGTAAGACGGCGTGAATTGGTAAAAATAAAATATATATTTGAGACTCTTTCTCAGATTAATATTCAGTCCTTTTTTTGATAATATATTAATGTTTTTTCACGAAGTAATACTGTATATAACTATGACTTAGCCAAAAGTAGGGATTTTAGATTATTATTATAGAATTTATAGTCAACGAATACATTTGACCTCATAAGCTTGGTGCATACTAGACTTGTGATGTTATGCTAGTTTTTATTTTGGTCTTAAGGAGAGTACATACGCCAGTTAAAAATCGAACTCTCAAATCTCTCACTGGGGGATACTTATAATAACAATGAAAATATGTAGCTTAATTTCATGTAAACATTCGTCTTTCAGATTCATATCATTTTTGACCGCGTGCTTAATTAACAGCAATGTAGATATTTGTGCCAGAATTCTCTATCTGTGGACTGATTGAAGACTCCCTATGTTTCATTGCAAATTTGCAATAGTTGGTACAGGAAATATATGCATACAGCCCTGCACAATGCTGTTACATATGATTTATTCAGTAATATTGCTAAGCATGAAGTATCAAATGAGTAATGCACCAATGACCTTATGCACTACATGATCATAATTTCCTCGGCTCATGATAAGTAGCCACTTTTTCAAGAAAAGTGTTAGCAGTGACAATTTCCTCCACAAGCACTTCCTAAAATGGAATAGCTCAGGTTTGCAGTAACACACGGCGGCTTTGAGAAGACAGAAACGTACTAGACTGCCAGTCTGCCATTTGTGTTCTGTAGCTCGAGTTGTTTATCGTACAAGTGTGGGTGGGGAAGAACTGAGGCTCAGAAAGGATTGCTTCACCTTGGTGCTCATATAAAAAGAACCCATATCAGTGAAAAGTGCACCTGCGGATGAGAAGACAATAGGCTAGGTTACGGATTTATGGTTAGAGGAAATACTCGAGAGCTGTGAAGGCTACTCAGGCAGATGGTTCCATAGCAAGGACTCAAGGATCATATCCTGACATTTAAGTTGAGTACTTGAGTTGATCAACATCTGGAAGAAATAACATTAACTCCATTGTAAAGTTTGCTCCTACAATTCAAGTTCTCCCTCCGTTCCCTTTTGTTCTTTACGTTTAGAATTATGTGCGGTTATTTAGGAAAATTGATAAAGTGAGTACATTCAATCATTTTTGTCATCATAATTCATTGGGAGATGATAAAAGGGACTATTACTGCCAAAAAAATAATGAAAAAGAAAAGGTTGAAGAGGAGAGAGAAAGTAATTATAAACATTGAAATTAGTACTTCATTCACTATAAAATTGGAAAAAGTACACTATCACATGCAAAATTGAGGACTACATGGGATATTAAAAAATAAAGTAAGGGTAAAGTTGTCTAAATTTTATGTTTTAAAATAGAAAAATCCTAAATGTAAGGAATAAATAGGAACGCCTTAAATGAAAACGTAAAAAACAAATGGGAATGGAGGGAGTATATGCTAAATTAAAGGAGTAATGTTTGCTCCCACAATTCAAGTACTACCTCCGTTTCATATTTTTTGCAATTTTTGCCAAAAATGAATGCTACACATTATTTACAACTAATGTTTTCTTTTCTTTTTAGGTTGTCATTTCTCTCTATTTCTCTTCTCATCACATGCATTCCTATATTTCTCTCTATCTTACACTCACAAACAAATTTTGCCTAGAGTTCCCTGCACCCTTCAAAGTTACAAAAATTATGAAAGAGAGATAGTATACGATAAAGCATTCGAGAGTACATAGGACTAAATTGGTTCTCAAACACAATAATGTCATTTTACAATTTGGCGGGAAATACAAATTACAAATTCAATTTATCCTACGAACATACATGTTGAAGTATGAGTTTAACAACCCACATCACATCCACTTCTCTACAACCACTCACAAAGTTCACCCAACCAACAATCGGAAACTCGCACCGCTGCTTCGGCACCGTCATCGCATAAACCGCCACCACAATTCCCGCCGCAAGATACACCGGAGATTCCACAAACATCCTCGAAATCTCATCATTCTCGTACATCAAATCCATGACATCGCAACAAACCTCAAAGCTCACCATCTCACCAACCCTAGCCACCTCTTTAAGCTTCATCAACAACTCTTCAATCACCAAAAACACCGAATTCTTCATCGTTCCGACCTCGAAACTCAAGGATTGCAGAAACAGGATTTCGGCGTCGACGAAATCGGTTTTAGTGAAATGCTGATCTTTGATGTGTTGATCGCCGATTGATTTTAGGGATTTGAGAGAAAGAGGGGGAGAATCGTAGGTTTTGCTGGAAATCCAGAGTGAGATGAGAGAGAATAGCTGCAATTGAGGGAAATACAAGGGTTTCTTGAGCAGCCAATGGTGGTGGTGGTTGCGGTGGCGGGAGGAGGAGAGAGAAGGGAAGAAGCGATGGGCGAAGAGCGAGAGAGCGGAGTATTTGACGATCGGAGTTGTTTGGAGGTGTTCGGAGCATTGGATCAGGAATTTTACGGCGTCGAGGCGGTGTGATGATGGTGGAGGAATCAGCTCGCTGGCTGTGTTGGTGGTCATCTCCATTGGTGAAAATTTCTGAAACTTAAAATGTGGAGTAATTTATACTGGAATCACAAAGTTTGCAGAAGGTTTAAGATAGAGCTCTGTGAAATGATGGTTTGAATGTCGTCAAGTATGAAATATGTATTTGTAATTGGTTAGATTATAATTTTTGAATGGTTTTTTTTTTATTGAGATAGGAATTTCAAAAACTTCCCCAATTCTTTAGAATTGAGCTATCTGAAGTGATTAGGAAAGCGATGAGCGTTTTGGGGAGTATGAAAAGGCAAACGTTCGTCAACAAACTGTGAGAAACGTGGCTGATCCTGATCCCATCTGCAAGAGTTGGAATGGCCCAGCAGCAGGCTGCTACAAAATTAACACTGATGCAGCTTGTTTCAGAATTGGGAAGTATGGGTTAGGACTTAGGAGGGATTATGCGTGATAGTGTGGGGGAAGTAATGGCTGCTACTTGGCAAACGATGGATGGAGGTGGAAATCCTGATGTTGCTGAGGCTTTGGCGGCTAGACATGCTCTGTAAATTGCACTCGAAGCTGGGCTAATCGAGTGGTGAGCAATACAAGGGAGAGTACTAGTCAAAAAATAAAAACCAAGCTCAGTTGCATACTTCGCTTCTTCCAGTAGATCTGAAAGTAGTGGCGAACCCTAAGTGCCACATAATATGCAATTTTCATCACTGCTTGCCTAAGCCTTGCACCAGCCGGGAATCGAACCCGGGTCTGTACCGTGGCAGGGTACTATTCTACCACTAGACCACTGGTGCTTTTTTAATTCTTGTTGGTTATTTTTGTTGATATTATGTAACAGAAAATGATTTTTTGTGCAAGAATTTTTTTTTATTTTTTTAAGAGGATTGATGGTGGAAAGGAAGTGAGCTATGCAAAAACAAAACAATAAGCAAGCTCAGATGCACACATAGCCTCTTCAGGTAGATCTGAAGATGGTGGCGAACCCTTTGTGCCACATTGTATGCAGTTTTCATCACTGTTTGCATGTTTTTTTAAAGATCTGGGGTTCGAACCCGGGTCTTCGTTGCCACTAGACCACTTGCCCTTGATTGATGTTTGCTAACTGTTATTGTAGATGCAGTATGTTCACAAAGTGAATTGAGTATTGTAAAGAGAGCATTTGAATTTCCCAATATTAAGGGATTTAGTGCTGGTAAATATTGGAAAAATAAAAATAAATAAATTGATTAAAAGATAGTGTATTAGTGTGTTAAAGGACCAACATGACATAGATTATGGAGTGGCTTGAACAAATGTAATTTTACTTTTGTATAAGACATGTATTTTGTATAAATTACTAACATAGAAATAGAGGAATATAATTTGTAAACAGAGGGAATATAACTATGATAGGGTGCAAACATTAAAGCTAGCTAATTACTTGAACTTTATATAGTTCAGAATAACTTAGAAGATTTTGAAATTAAGATATTGTGATTTATAATTGGTTCATTGTGTATTTAGTAATTCGGTTTTACTAACCATCAGTCCATCAGTTAGACGTAGAAGATAAGAGAGAAAACCAGTGAAGGTTTTGCTACCATGTTAGCTATATAAGCTCCACCACCTAATAACTAAGAGTTCTACATACATTGAGTCGGTAGAAAAAACGGCGTTCTACAGATCTGAAAATTGAATGGTTAAAGCTGAAATTTACAGGTATATAGCTGACTAATGCTAAAAATAATCAGATAATATAATGATTATATTACAAAGATATGTAAATAATCTGTTATAGTTGCACTAGACTGCTGGGACAAAATCTTCCTGCCTGAGTTCAACACTATCTTTTGAGTATGCACTAGCTTTAAAACCACTAATATAGTTGCATTGTTGCTTATGATGGGTTGGCCACTGTCATTACTCTCATAGTAGCGCCTTACTGTACTGCTTCCATCTATATTTGTCATCTGATAACTGCTCAATTTATGACTGCTATTGTGGATTAGCACTCGTGATAGCCTGATAGTCTGCACACCAAAAGATGTCATTGCTAGACCGCAAAGGCGCTGAGCTGTGCAAAAACACAAAAATAAGCAAGCTCAGATGCACACATAGCCTCTTCAGGTAGATCTGAAGATGGTGGCGAACCCTTTTGTGCCACATTGTATGCAGTTTTAATCACTGCTTGCATGTTTATTTTTTTTTTAATATCTGGGGTTTGAACCCGGGGCCTTTGCGGTGGTGGGATACTATTCTACCACTAGACCACTTGCACTTGATTGATGTTTGCTAGCTGTTTTTGTAGATGTAGTATGTCCACAAAGTTTTTTGAATTGTAAAGAGAGCATTTGAATTTCCCAATGTTTAGGGATATAGTGGAAATATAAAAATAAAATAATTGATTATAAGATAGTAAGTGTGTCAAAGGACCTACATACAAATATAAAAATCATTGATAGCCCACAAAGGCGGCACTCCTAGCCTCACCTCACATCTGGATGTAGCACCACATTGTGCGCAGTCGTCATCACTGCTCGCATGTTTGATGCACCAGCCGGGAATCGAACCCGGGTCTGTACCGTGGCAGGGTACTATTCTACCACTAGACCACTGGTGCTTGTTGAATATTTACTACATTTATACACATATATAGTATTAAAATCATTTAATTTAGCATTTATACACAATATTTAATTATTAAGTTTATAACAAAATACAAACAATATTACTTATTGAAACCTATTTACTCTTGTTAGAATTTTTTTTTTTCCTTTTTTTAAAATGAGGGAAATGACTGTTGTTAGAATTTAGCAAAATAGATATTAAATCAAAATTAAAAATTAAGGCTCCGTTTGTTTTGACGGAAAATATTTTCCTGGAAAATGATTTTCTCAATTTCCATTGTTTGGTTTGTAAAGGGATGGAAATCAATTTTCCAAAGATGGAAAATAGTTCTCCCAAAAGTAAAAAATGCTTTTGGTTTTCCTTCTAAAAGGAAGGTATGCCACATTTTCATCCCTTCTCCTTACATCCCTTACCTCCCATCTCATCCATCTTCTCCCTTCCACTCCTATTTTTCCCATTCTATATAATTTTTTTTGTATGGAAACAAACAAAAAAAAAAAAAAAAAAAAAAAAAAAAAAAAAACTATTTTTACTATTATGTTTTCCCTTGAACATTATTTTCCATGGAAAATCATTTTCACAATAGTTGTTTTCCGTTAGAACAACAGAGCCTAAAAAAAAAAAGAAATTTGGTCATTACATTTTACATGTTGATGACCACCATTTTTTGTTCAAAAAAAATAAAAAGTTTAGTAGACTATACTCTCATTAATTTAGTTCACCAGTTTTAAGTTTGACTTTAAATGAATCTAATTTATAACATAGTATATGAATAAGTCAATGAGCTGAACAAAGAATATATCGTGTTAGAACTAAGCTTGATTAGAACACCAAACTTTCAAGAAAAATGTTTAACTAAGCTTGATTAAAACACCAAACTTTAAAAAAAACATGTTTTACCATTGTTTCTTTTTCAGTAGCAGTCTTTTTGTCTTGTTCAATAAAATTATATTTACACGTACACCATACATATATTTAACTAATGTGTTAATAACAAACTGTGTATAATATTGTTTGACAAGCCTTGGATGTATATTTTCATAGTATCAACTATAAATAGATGTTTTACAAATACTTGTATATACTATAATCTATTCATGTTTACTTTAACAAACATATTTAGGCAAAAGTGGCCAACAACTAACGAATTTTAAATAAGGTACAAATAGGCTAGCACATTCATGATACAATTATCCCTTGAAGCCTTCTTCTAATGTAAATCCATACAAGCATCAGGAATTGTGCAGGAAATTAAAGGGCCTTTGAATAATGAAGCATTAGTTAATACTATATTGCACCAGTAAGAATATTACAATGTGAATCCACAATATCAAAATTTCTTTCGTTTACCTTTCTGATAAACTCACGGTGTAAATGCCTATCAAAACACTTGCATTCACTAATTTAACAAAAATCTATGCCCTCAAACCAGTGGGTTCAGATGTATTTGTATAATATTAAGAATAACTAAGCTACTCTACGCCATACAAGCAAATACAGGAAAAATGAATTTTGAAGAACAATTTCTGAACCAGTGCTTCATTCCCGATCACAGCGGACAGTTATGTCCTGTGCTGCATTGAGAATCTGCCATTATCAAATTTCAACCCCTAGTTACCATCATTTCAAAGATTTGACAACGGAAACCTTTGTTCTGGCCACTTGGGGTATGCACGCTTGAACAAGCTCATGCACACAGTGTCATTCTGTTGAAGGACTCCATTGAAAAGGCATTTCATTGCCCCTGCAAAGCAACAGAAAACATATCAATGATCCTGATCTCCCACGCGAAAAGAAAATAATAGTTGAAGTATATGCTTATATGTATCTGAAAATGGATACAATATATCTGAATATCGTTTAAAAAAATGGCCAAATTCACAAAAACTGCATTTTTACATGTAATTGAAAGTATAGCCACACTTCAAAATCATCAGTGCTTGACAGCAAGGAATTTTAGAAACATATTGACCTAGTAGCTTGGTACTCAAGAAGATGCAGGCATACAACAATAAAATTAAATAAAGGAAAGTTGCAACAGGTTCCTTTGAAAAATCTCCTCTCAACCGCACAAAAGGTGGTGGTAGTCGTGTGTGTAAAAAAGAGGAAACTACAACTCGATAAATTGGGACATTGAGAAGACGAAATTTACCATGTGTACCGACAGTCTCCTTTATACGTCCACGACGTCCGCATTTAGTCCATAATTCTACAGGCTGCAGTATATAAACACTCAAATTAGCTCAACCAGTAAAGCCATTAAACTTTGCTAAAATAATCAATAGCTATCTCCCTCACAAAAAAGACACTACAAACTAGAAAGGGGCAGTTGGGATGGAGAAGCAAAAGACAAAGTACCATACCTTGAACCATTTTACATCTTCGGGACTGTGGAACATATATCTAACTGTTGCTTTGACTTTAGAAACTCTTTGGAGATAACTGCATCAAATTAAGGTTTTGCACGTCACAACCAAAAGACAGGATTGGGAGAAGAAAACAAGTTTGCTACTAAAAAACAACTAAACTAGTGATATCAACATAAAAAAGAACCATTTAAAGGTATTGAGATGAAAATAATGACAAATTAAACAGAAATCTCAAAAAAGAATTAATAATAGATTCTTCAAAAATATATACTATATGATCACATCTCAATGACTGGTTAAATTAAAATATTATGACATCACATACTAAGCGAGCCCATACATTAATAAATAAATAAATAAAAACTACAAGTGCACCCTACGTTACGTAATAAAGAAAAATATTACAATTCCCAATGCTACAAAAAGTAGACAATAGATCAGAGCAACAAGAGATATGATACAGATGAAATTCAGGGACCTGGGCTACTAGTAGAGGTGATCATGGGCGTGGCATTGACCAAAATACAAAACAGAGCAAGAATGGGATTTTCTAGACAAAAGTGGGTTTTGGTCTTTAAATGAATTTTTAGGCCTATCCAGAGCCCTTTTTTCAAAAATCAAGCCAGTACAGCCCCAAAACTAAAAAGGGACCCAACTTCAGCCCAACCTAGACAGTTTCCAGGCCAGGCCAGTTACGATCAGGTCTAACTGTCTTCACATTATCAATCTATAAGAAAAAAGGCAGCTTTCTAAACCAAGTCCTATTAATCTTAGCTCAACAGTTCAAACTAGGTGTTCTTAAAAATGCAACAGTAACTTCAACAAACAAGGATTAGCAATTACAAAACTTCAGGAGCACCTAGTTGAAAATATAATTTGCCTCTTTGGAAATGGTAAACAACTAAACATATCTTTGCAAGGAGGCTCACAATAAAAATTACCCAGATACTTGACTTAACAAAGCAAAGAAATAGTCAAATCAACTTTACAAGCATCGTAATGATCTATACATCTGGTAGGAAAGTGAAGATATACTTACCCAGTTAGAATAATCTTCTTCAATATTATTCTATCTGGATCAACGCTAATCAAAGAGCCAACAGCAGCCAAAACAGGTGAGCCCATGACTCCTGATTTCTTCATGGCTACCAAACAAAGAGGCGGAAATGAAATTGGAGCATATATCGAAGCTACGGAAAAGCGTCCGGCATGAAGAAACTTCTCCATCTTGTGCTTGTCTGAATTGAAGTTATCGGAGGAAAATACTGGCCTTCAGAAGACAAGTCAAGGCTTTTAGTATCATAACAAAATTATCCATAAAATAAAAAATATAGCTTCAACAGCTGGGATTTTTTTCAGAAAAATTACCTTGCAACAAACTGTCGGAAACCAACATGAAATATCAATTCCTCTTTCCCTTTGATTGGTTCATGGTAACTATCGTGCTTTTTAATGCTATTAAGACAGTAAATTATGTGATTATGAAGTAGACAGAAATACTCAGATATGATAAAAAAAAACAGGAGCTAACAGAACTAGATAGTAGATACCTGAAGTGAAGAACAGACATCTTGGACTCATGTTGCAAGAGCCCACATGATATGATGGGCATCATTTTTGCACGCAGGCATAAATATGAAGCAACAGTTTGTGGTACTTCTTTTATATAGAGCCTTGCATATGTACCAGGAGAAACAGTCTCATCCTTACTTTCATTGTCTCGTTCCAAGGCTTTGGCAAGCACATGTTTTCGAGTTCTTGCGAAATTATCAAAAGCAAATATTCTTGAATATTCTTGAGGTAGGGATTCCTACTCAGAGATAAACAGAGAGAGAGAGAATTTAGATTGTAATGATCATCAAAAGTAATAACAGTAAAAGTCATGTCAAGCGGCACAAAAAGATCACCTTTGGATCCCATGATGATGTTCTAAAGGACTTCAGGCCTCTGTACTTGGCAAAACGCTTTCTAGCAGGCACATCAATTGGAGTATCGACTTCATCTGGGTATTCTGAAGTCAAGTTGCACCACTAATAAGCAAAACAATTGATTCCAATGGAAGCGGTGAAGTATTACAGAAGCCATCAAAGAATATACGCGGTTCACAAAAGTTAAATATAACCAATATTGATAGCAATTGACTCAAAGTGAGGTCTACATTTACTCTTCAGTAAGGTATAAATAGAATAAATACTTCTTCCTATGCAAGGAACATTACAAGAACCTTTAACCACTCTAAATCACCAGGCTCATGCCAACATATTCAAGGTCATATCTTCATTTGAAAAAGAATAACGTTGGATACCTGATACATCTAAAGTTCACATTAAAGGTAAAGGAATCAAGAAAGACAAAGGGGGCAAAGATATCAAGAAAGAGAGTTCATTAATATTGTTTTGTTCACAAAAGGGACAACAATCAATTACCACTTTCTACAGAAGTCCATCCCATTTTCTCTAAAAATAAGCCCATGTCTTTCTCAGCTTCAAGTTGCTTTGACCCAATCTCCATGCACTCACCAAGTTTAACCCAAACCTTTACAGGCACATAATATTTCTCACCTTCCTTCACACAACACTCATTAAAGTCATTGGCATCTTGTGTCGTCCATTTTACTCAACCACAGCGATATGGTACCGCTGTCAAAGCCTAGATCTACTCACTCTCATGTATACACAGCTTTTAAGGTGGTTGGGAGGATTGATAGTGTTATTTTGGTAGCTATTGTGAGGCTATTTCCTGGCGATGGTCGATTTGTAGAAGAAAAGAGGAGTCTTGGGTGGTCATGAACTGCAATGTAGTGGTAATCTCGGTTGTGTGGGAGACAGTAGGTGCGGTCATTGTCATCATGTCAGCCATGATACTTCAGCCATATCAGCCCATGTGTCATCTCTGTCAAAGCCTGGATCTATTCTCATGTATATACAGCTTTTAGGGTGTTTAGGAGGAGCTTTCATGTTATGTCAGTAGCTAATTGTGAGGTTATTGCCTAGTAATGGTGAAGTTTTAGAGGGAAATTGAGGAGTCTTGGGTGTTTATGAACTGCAATAATTAACAGTCCAATGTCTGTGGTAGAGAACATAGATGTGGTGGCAATGGGAAGCCACAGAAGGTGGTAAGAAGAGTTAGTTGTCAGAGATGGAAGAACAAAGTCACGAGGCGAAGGAGTAAAGAAGAGTTAGAGGAAAGAAAGGCATTCTCAAATCCTGGATTGTAGCTGTAATTTAATGTAAAGGAATGCCTGGGAGATCCAAAAAGAAAAAAAGAGGAAAAAGGAAATAAAAACAATAGGGCAGCCAAACACCCACCAAGGAAATCCCCTTTCCTTTTCTTAAATCCCTCCCACCAAAGAGCCCCTTTTAAGTTAATAGCTACAGCTTCACAAAGGAAACGGAAAAGTTTAAAGTAGATAACCATTAACTTTAAAAGATAAACTGATTTGTAACCAAACACATTACCACAACCATCAATTACTAAGGAACGACGAAATTACCCTAATACCCCTCAAAACTGAATTACTGAGTTGTCGAGGCCTTGAAGGGACTTATAGAGTGTTAGGATGAGGATTAGGGGATGGAGGTCAAGAGAGGAATGCATGGAAAAGATGGTGATAAAAACGGAAGAGATATAGAATAAGAAGAAAGAGAGAGAGAGAGAGCACACTGTTGAAAAGAATCAACAAGTTTTTAAACATGCCTTAATTACTCTAAATAAGTGAATTTAATATTGAGATCCCCTTGATTGAAAAGCTTGAATAATGAGCAGTAGTATTGATGTATTTAAAATAGAGGATAGTATGATCTAACACCAAGAGATTAAACAAGTGATGGGCTAGTTTGCCAACAATCTCATCTATTAGTAGAATCACCATAAAAATCTTAGCATTCCAGAAAAATAATGCTGCATGAGTATGTTCGATTGACATGTTCACACCTATTAAAGCATAGTGCTAAATTAAAATGTATAAAATGATCGATGACTAGAGAGCAATTAAAAAACCATCTGGAACAAAAGGAATTACCCTCATCTTCTGCATGAGCATCTTTTAATCTCTTGATATCATCTTCTATCTGCTCCCTAGTCATATCCCATCCTGTAAAGAATATGGCATTAGTTATTTTAAATGCGATGAAACAGGCATAAAAGATCTATAAAGACAAATATAAAGTAAACAGGCAGAAGAAATGGTAACCATCTGAAAACAATAACCATAAATACTTTAAGGAAATAGGTTTCTGCGGTCATTTACGTAATTGTAATTAGTTAACGTTATTTAGGGTGTTACACCAAATACGAGCTAAGCATGGAACGCAGCAACTTCTATCCAACCTTGTTTCATTCCATACTGCACTGCTTTCCAATTTTAAACTACATCAAAATATCAAATGATTTTATTTTACTGAAGGGGATATTAAGGTTTAGGGGTAACCACATTCTAATGAGGATAACACATGGAAATCAAGCGCTTGACTAATGTAATTAGGTATTAGTTAGAACACAGAGCAGCCACTAAATAAAAATAGATTTCTTATTTGAAGAACTATCTTATTGTTCACCCATTATGAATTTACAATCATCACACATTCACAACTTCCAGTAACACAAGTGTGCTAGGAATTAGCTTGATTACAGCAGTATAAATGGCAGAAAAACAGAAGGAAGATGATGATTATATTGATTAGATGAGAATTACACTAAATTGGATGATAATTCCACTTTCGAGAGGTGGATGCTCTCCTAATATGAGCTTTCGAGAGACTCACTCTCTCCCAATAACAAACTTCACACAATATTCAACATATCCTTATTCCTCCTAATGAGGCCTATATATAGAAAAACTGTCCTAACAAACTCTAGACTATGACTAATATGCCCTTCCCCTAAATATTAATTCCTTGCAAAGTGATGCATACAGACAAAGCTATTCAGCACCTACACATACATAAGTGCCCAGCTGCCCACAAGCCACAACAAAGAACAAATAAAAGCACATAAATCTTCAGTGAGCATGACTCAATATTGATGCCTACACATATTGAGGGTATTGCTTTCCCTCGATGTTTCAAGTCCCTTTCAACAGGCTTTTGTACAACCCTGGTCAAGTAGAAGACTGAATACCCTCCAAGTGATATTTGACATATCTCGACTTTAAAAGACATCCCCTTGCTGTCTTTCTATAAAAAAATATAGATGAATACAGATAGTTCACAGCTAAACTTACCAACATCATTGAATCAGTCTCTGTCTCTCCATCTGATTCTCCGAGGTCAAGGGAACCTTGATCTTCATCAAGGTCATTAGAAGCAACACCAATTTCTACCCCATCCAAGACCATGCCACCCTCTGACTCGTCATTACTTTCAAAATCATCCTCATCACTCTCATCCACAATCCAAGCAGCCTGAAGAAATCAGATATTTGTGAATTGTTAAGCACCAAATATAAGGTATTAAACCAAAACAACCAAGACTTGAATTTATAGAGAAGTTCAAACCACATGAGCTCATCTCTAGAGATTCAAGCAGAGAAGAGAAAAAGATGACTGACAAAAGGCTGAGACAAACCTGATATTCCGAAGTACCAGGTGGAAGTTTCCTCTTCTTCTTATGCTTCAGATTTTCCTCCGCCTCAGCCATTTCTGCTTCAGTTGGCCATGTCTAATAGAAGATGTAGGATTATGAAAATGGACTATAAAATCAATTCAAATCACAACAAAATTATACTTCCATCCCTGATGCATTTCTAAAACTAATACTACCCCAAATTGAAACAATAATGGATCACTAGGTAACAGATTGAACAAGTATTTGATCAAAATAAATTTGAGTATTACATGCTGACAGAAAGGGATGTATCAATAAAAACATTACTAAAGCATCTTCTGTGAGACTGACAATCAAAGACTCTCATGGCTTCATGGAATGGATTCAAGTCATAAATAAAACCTGTTGGTATGTATTGACAATAATAAGCTATGAACTTATACTGTATTATGTAGTTCCTACAGTTTATCATTCCAACAAGGATCATTCTGAAGTCGTGACCAATAAGCAATGTCAATAACGAGCCTACAAGATTTGCTAGCTGAACTGAACGAAGATATCAAATAAAAAAGAGCAAGCTGAACTTTAGTGAAACAACATTTCATTTACAAAACTGAAATTTTTCAAACCATATTTGCACAAATACACATGAAAATATGAAAGTATAAACTCAGCAACACAATTATTAGCTAACAATCAATAGCTGAGATATCAAGATAACAATCAAATGGAATGAGAGGGGGAAGGGGATGGACTAAGGAGCAATATAAAGACTAAATTGCTGACTCAGAATATCAGAGGGAAAGGAAAGCACCAGAGGTTATCCACCAACCTGTTCTCCGGCAAGAGGATCTGGAACATTTTCGACATGTAATGGTTCTTGCTTTGAACTATCAGGCACTAACGAGCTGATCACCTACAATGAAAAAATTGAAATCATAGTGAGAGTATGAAACAAGTATTGTAGCAAAAAGAGCAAATTTAAGGCTCATGCGAAATACCATCTGGAAAAAGTATTAACAAATGGAGAGAACTAGTACAGGGAGGAGAAACTGAAAAAATTGATAAAACAATACATAGATTATTTTATCAATCTTATTCCTTTGGTTATATGAGGCTAAATGGTTTTACCTTCTCCTTTAGGTATAAAGATGCAAAGGCATTTTGAAGCACGAGTTTGGCAGAAAAATTACAATAAAGGAAAAATGAAATAATGTAGGATCAGAATTTCCTAAAGGATGGCAAATCACCTTCCAAATCAAGATTACTACTTGCATAATAGCATGTTATACGAATAAGGCTTAGCTGATTCAATAGAAAATTGAACTCACATTATATCACTAAAGAATACGTAAGAGGCTTTTACTTTAGCATTTTTTTAATACTATGAGATCATTCACCAAAAATCATCTCTAATCTATTACTTTAGCATGCCAATAAAAAGAGTAGTCTTTTTTTTTATTGCGTTTTAATGTAAAGGAGAAACTACTAATTACATGACAATGTTACCAACCTGCAGATCAGGCATATCATCAGCATCCATTGTGTCGTGCTCTTTCCTGGGATTTAGAGCATAAGGGTCCCTGAGGATATCAATTTTGCTTAGTTGATAATCACCTGCTCCAGAGACATGGACCTAGTTCACCAGAAAATTTATACTAAAGCATTAGGCTTTGAACTGTGAAACATAAGTTTTAATAAGAATCATGGAGAGAAAACTGCAAACAATTACCAGCTGATTTACAGAGAGATTAAGAGCACGGATATAACCGGTGATGCAGAGGGTACACTTTCCAGAAACAGAATCATGATCAAGCATCTCAAGCTGCAGAAATTTGAAAGAAAATCAATATAAAGGTTAAGATTAATTTAACTAGAAGTACAAAACAATATCATGAAGCAAAGAGCATTTCTTATTAAAACTATTATATGAAACACCTGCAACAAACAAAAAAAAATCAGATTATTTGGTTAATCAAGGAATCAATCTTTTATGTGAGTTCGGTCTGTAAAGTTCAGTCTATTACACTAGGTATCAGAGCGGTACGGTCTACGGCCATGGTTACCTCTGTATCACTCTCTAACAATGGCTTGAGGCCATAACTCTCTCTAGATTTCCCTAATACAAAATTCTGCCTCCTTTCCCTTTTATTCCCTCTCTCTATTTATAATAAAACTAAAGACTTAACCTAAAGATACTAGACTACCCATAATGCCCCTCCTAAGATTAGTTTATTACAGACGTTTTGACTTACATCCTCGCATTATTAATGCACTAGCTTTTGCTAAAAGCTACAAAATAAAAAATAAAAAGACGCACCTTGCCCTTGGATAATACACTAGTAACAATTAAAAAACATATTGATGAAAATGCATCACACTTCAAGATGTATCTACTTTATCCCTTTTGGCTGGATGCTTTCATATAGCAAGGTAATTAAAAGTTACAAATTCAGGAATTAACCTTTTGAGAAGCAACATAAGCTCGCTGATTTCTCCAGTGAGGAGGTTTCAACCTTTGATCCTTCAGAATGTATAAGAACTGCACCAACAACAATGAAATACAGCTCAAGTATGGTAAAAACAGTTCACTGGAAGAAGAAAATTTTGATACAAGTCAAAAGCCCATCCCTATTGCCCTAGCTATTTTTAAACGTATCTCACTTCACTAAACTATAAAAGCAGCAAATCACAACTGCAATACAGAACTTGCAGACATTACCTTGTGGAGATCATCCTTAGTATCTGCCGGATAAAATTTACATTGCTCAGGAAATTCAGAAGCAAGACTGGAATTACATAATTTCTTAGATTCATTTCTTCCTTTCAAGTCACTAGGTAGGTCCTGAAGCAAGAAAATTTAATTACCAAACAGTGAAACAATTTCTTTCTTTTAACTAAAAGTATACAAAAATTTGTCTGCTTACACGGATCAATACGACAGTGCTTGGTAAGCCTATGGCTTTGAAAACAGAAAGACACTGCACTCCAAATGAATCGATGTAATCAGATGAACCGCCTTCACATGGAGAGCTCGCTGATGTGACAAAAGCCACCAAATCAGCAACCTAAGCAGATATGTTCACATATAATTAGTGACAGCTACAAACAATTACATAGCATTTTGAATTAATGTAACAGAATTCAAAAGAAAAGAAAAAAAAAAGAACAAATGAGTACCTTGGCCATATCCATGCATGAGGATAGATCCCCGTGAGGAGCTTTCAGCACCTACACCCAACAATCAGTATTAAATATGCTTTGTAACATGCGGCAGAAAAATGCAGCAATCACAAGAAAGGAAAAAAAAAAAAAAAAAACCTACCATTTCAAACACATTCTGAACAGGCTAGCAAAAAAAGAGAATTGGAGAATGGAGACTAAGAACACAATTTTCTATGAACAAAGTCCCATTCAATACAGCAGTGACATTTAATATTGATTTCTTATATTCATTGTTTGTAACCTTGACCTATCAATATCTTTAAGCTAAACATCCCCCTACTCAGACCTCTGGTGCCTGAGCTCTGAATTCAGATTAATCCACAAATACTTTAACCCTATGTCACTCAACCCCTAAGCAAGTGTCACACTTGGCCACTTTAAAGTATTTTGCGCAAGTTCATGGCCCAGAAATGGGGAGACCATATGTATAATGAAGCTTCCAGTATCCTCCAAAAGCACTTATGATGGAGTGAAAATTATGACTAGCATTAAACTTTTATCCCAGAAGACATTATTGTGCAGGGGTTACTTATCTCACAGTTCTATAGCTAGCAGGTTCAAAAACAAATTTAACCGAACCACCTCCTCCCTCAACCCCTTGTAATAAAAACAAAAACAAAGGGTTGCATATTACAATGATTTCTTATTTACAAAAATTAGTGACAATGAGTAAGCACATGCGCAAAAGTGCTTCTTAGTATCTTAATAATTAGAATAACTTTCACTAAAGATTCAGCTGTTTTGGGTAAGGATGAATATAAAATTACAGTGAATATTTAAATAACACAATAAATAAAGGAAAATTCTCATCTTCCATCCCCCATATCAAAGTAAACTCAAGTCATATTCTAAATTTCAAAGACTCAAAGACTTTCAATAGACTTAAAATTTGTCCTTCTCCAGCTGCATTGACAGAAAACTTTGTCCCCCTAACCTTGTGTGCTGTTTCCTTTGTATTATTGGCTAAACAAAAATAAGTCTTCTTTGTCTCTTAGTAAAGATTGGAATAGCATATGGCAAAAGGCTTTTAACGGAAATCTTTTCCAGGGTACATAGTATCACCAAAATTTTCAACGGTAACCCCATACATCAAATGACACTTATTGTCTTGCATTTAATTGATTTCATCACTTTTCCCTAAATCCTGTACTTGAGACAGACTTTTTTCTTTTATTGACAACAACAATAATTCACTCAAAAACCCTAAACCAGGACAATTTTTAACAAAATTCTTTCCCCAGGTACATAATATCACTGAATTCTCAAAATAAGCCCTTACATCAAATTACAAATGTTTCTTGCATTTTATTGATTTCATTAATTCCCTAATCCTGTACTTGAGGCAGACTAATTTTTCTGTTTTCTCTGACAACTCCAATAATTCACCCAAAAACCCTAAACCCAGGACAACACAGTATATCTCACCACCAGCTGGTCTGAGGAGATAAAGATGAATGGAGGCACCATTTATTCAAAATAAAAGCCTCAACTATATTAGTGCATTTCTTACAATGTCTAGCTAATATAAAGAACATTCAAATGATTCAAATGTTTGGTGTATGAGATCAGTAGCATAAAAATTGCTCAAAATTCCCAACCAAGATACAATCTAATTGTAGGACATACTTCACGCAGAATATTAAACTGGAACCATGCACCATTTGTTCCATATTTCATTTCATTTTAATGAATGAAATAGTAATCTGTAAGGTAGTGTCACGTAATCACAACTTGATTCATTAAGAAAGAAATAAGCAGTGAAGCAAAGCAATAGTGTCTAGGGAATTCAAATTCTTTCAACTTCTATACGACAATTTCATATTATCTACATAAAGAGCGATGAATAAAACTCAAATATCAAACTTTTTTAATAACAGGCACACATTTGATTTCGCATTCTAGAAAAAACATGATCCAACCCAATCAATCAACATAAAACAGCCAATTTGGGAGTAACCCAACAAAGACCTTACCGTGGCTCTCATCTTGTAGTCGGAAGAGACAACAGTAGGGAATGCCTCATTGCTGCATTTTGTTGATAGTAATCCCAACAAATCCCTTTCGACCGAATTCAAGTCAACATGAGCAGACAGACCAAACAGAACCTAAAATTTAATCAAATTTGCAATAAGCTACAGCATTAAAGCATTCCAAAATCATACAAAATAAAATTTAAAAAATTTCAAGCTTAATTCTTTGATTTTATCATTTACAAAAACCAAAATAAAATTAACAAACTCACAATAACACGAGGTGGACTAGCTGATCCACTCAATGCCCTCTTTTCATTCAATGCAGCAGCCCGCTTTTGATCGCGTATCTAACAAAAATAATCAATCAGCTATCAATTGCACTAATTCATAAAAATTAACCAGTCAAATAATTGAAATTACACAAAAAAAATTACCATATTATTACGCTGAATTCGAGCAGCGCGAGCGCCTTTACCGAAACGGTCCGATTTCGCATTTTGATGCTTATCTAAATTCATAACAATAATTAAAGATTAAAACTTGAAAAGGAACGAATAATTGAGGCAAATTGAAGGTAATTAACAGGGGAAATTGAAAGAAAAATGAAACCTTTAAGAGAAGTTTTGTGAATATTGCGAGAAGATTTGGAAGCAAAACGAGTTTTATGAGTTTTGTTAACTTGAGCTCGAGAACCTCCCATGGCTGCTGCTGCTGCTTCACAAAACAGAGATCATTTACGGATGAAAGGGGAAGAAGAGAAAGAGAGACTGAGAAACCCTAACAAACTTTAAGTTTTGCTAACCTAAAACCCTACCCCGCCAAACTCACTAATCGGGGTACAATTAAACTATCCACTTTTTTACGGTTTTACTACCCTCGTCTCTAAATATGCAAGATCGCAACTGTTTGACTTTGCAATATTTATAAATTAAATTTCGTATTAATTTTAACTACGTGTTATCACTTCCTCTATTTCAAAATAATTGATATAAATAAAATTTATAAATTTTTTATTAAGGTAGAATTTCATTAAATTATTATAAGACAGGTTAAAGAAGGAAGTTATGGAGGTTTATATTTAACCATGAGTTCTACTAAGGGTACAGGACGTTGTACTTTCCTTTTATTATTATTATGCGCGGGAACGTTTGTCTCTCTTAAGTGACATTGGTGTCTACTCGATTAGATCCTGGAATAGTTTACCCCAATTCTTTGGGACAGGGATGAAACTTGTTCAATGCGTAATCAAAATAAATAAATTGTCTTATGTTTACAAATGGTAGTGTATTGAATTCAGTACTAAAGGTAAATTGAGTGATGCTAGGTTGTATGCATGTTAGTGCGTTTACGCTTATATATGTACTCAATATTGCTAATTGTTGTATTGTGTGTGTTTGGCCTTGTCTTTAATTATCTTGGTCCTATGACGACCCATTTCTTATGGCGAGTAGTAGGGATAGTTTAGAGAGAAGTCTTTTAGGTGATGCAGCATGTTCTGTTAGGGCTTGAGCGAAGAGCGAACTTTGTTCTAATTCTATTAGAATATGAATGATTTATTTGCTTTGAATGTTATTTATTTGCTTGATGAGACTAGCTAGCGTAATGGTTTTTAAATATTGATTTGGTTTTGAAAGGGCATACAAAGGTTCCAATTTTTAGGTTTGATTTTCATGGAATTTGGGATTGCGTTGTGTGTCTTTTTTAAAAGCCTTGGTCGTTATAACAATGGCGATAATGTCCTAGTTATTTCTTATATATTTCCTAGTTATAACATGTTTATTATTGTAGTTTAAAAAATATATCATTCTTTAAGAACACGATGTCAAGTGCATGATATAATAATCAGTAAATAATACAACCGTTCATATTTATATGAACTAAATTGTCCATTTATTTTCTTTCAAAAAAAAAATAAAAAATTGTCCATTTATTTTCAACTTTTGGATTCCATATTTGATTAAACAAATATAATGCACAATTTTCACCTTATGTGACATACAATGCAACAAGAAACAAACGAGCATTGGAATTATATTCTCCATGTAAGCAAATATGATACGGAGTATATATAATTATGACGCTTGTAAATTTGTAATATAATATCGAGATTTGAGACCAAAGACACATACACTTGGAAATAACACATACAATATGTATCAAGAATTTAACTTAGGTAATCCTTTGCAACCTGGAAGATCAAGCCATTCAATTTTGATTTGTATTTTTCCTTTCTCCACATTTTGTAGCTTTAGAGTCATTTCTTGAACCATTTTGCCTTTGCCAATCCAAACTACCTTACTTTCATCGTCTAAGCAGTTACTTTCATCAGGTTGTATCTTTTTTACAGCAGTTCCAATTGGGAGGTCTTTTATCCCCATTTGCATACACTCTATGTATGACTTAATGTCGACATTGGCATCACCCATTTTATCCGGTCTTGAGAATCTATCTTTGTCAAACACATTCTGTAAAAAATATGCAAATATACAAGTTAATTATTATCACTCTCCAAAAAGATAGAGTAGTAATGAATTGTCTTCTATGTATTGGTCAAATCATTTATGGTGCCACTAGTTATAAGCTTATAACATGCACAAAATACAACCAATTGTTTTATTCCGTAATTCATTTGGATCAAGTTTCACCAATGGATAAAATGGTCATAGTGAGTTCGTCTAATATGTTGTTGAAACCATTCATCTATATATATTTACTATGAAATCCCTAAGATAAGATTTTATTTCAACATGATTTTAGCGTGAAATTCCAACCTAATTCAAGTTGTGTTCATTATTAAGTAGAAATCTTAGTTGTTTAGAATTACGAAAGAAATAACGAGAATATAAAATTTTAACTCACCAATGTGATAGGCATATCTGGATCAGTCACTGAAAGAGTTAAAACATCATTCCATTCAGGGTTGCAATTATTCTTTATCACACGAGTCTTCAATTTCTGCACCAATCAAATAAGAAAATTTAGGTGTGCCAACATAAGTTTTGATCATATTTAAATATACTTTATAACTACTTTTAGATCTCGAAAATACACAAATGAAAATTATTTTGAAACAAAACAAGTAATATGGAGCAATGCTTATGATTCAAACATCTATACGAGAGTGTGTAGAACCAATCAAAAGCCCCTTATGATATTGTAAGGAAAGTTTTTCCTTGGTTGGAGTTTAATCTCAAATTTGAATCTAGATTAATCCGAATTTAATGAAATCTATAATATTAGATCACGTATCCCATATAGAAAGAAAGAAAGAAAAAAATGGTTAGACATGCCAGGCCAAACGACATAAACTCAAGATTAGATGAAGAATATGTTATACTTTCGTAATACTAGTATAAACTAAAGAAATGTTGAATTAAGATTTAGTTAGCAAGTACTAGCTAGAATGCTAGATGCAATGTTACCTGTGAGCCAGAGGTGATAACAACATAAGGGTCGCTACTAAAAGCGTCACAAACTTTGAGATCAATGCCTTTCTTCACGGTGATCTTCAATGCGCCTAAAATATTCATTCTTTCTTCTTGCTCTTCTGTTTTTCTTGCTTCTTAGATGTTTTGATGATCTATGATTTGATGAGAGTTGTAAACGTTGAGAAATTCAATGATTTGCATTGTTTTATATGACATTTCCTTCATTATTTATTTAGATGAAGGACGAATTTTCAATGGTTAGATTTGAGAAATTAATATCTTAATACAAGGTTATATGAACATGGACTAATATATTATAGTAGTGGACTAGTGGCCTCGTGGGGGGTAATGTGTCGATGTGCGTTGCACATTTGCACTTGTTTGTTCCTTTAAAGGCATTTCGTGTATAACAAGATCACTAATAAGGAAAACGTTACTATAAATTGATAAGGAATTTTTTTTTTTTTTATTAATTGACAATTGACTTATTCCTAAAAATTTGATCTAAACCTTTAACGACCTGTATATTTTGAGTTTATGTAGTTTACGTTAATTATCAAAATGTAATTCTTAGCGAAGATACTAAAATATCCTTGACGTAAATTTTCGGTGTGTAAAATACTTACGAAGTACTATATATTATATATAAATTCATAGAGACTCATCACTTAATCTCAAACTCATAGGTTCAACTGATAGTTTTATAAAAAATTTATCCTCATCGTTCTTAGGTGATATGGCCAACAATTTCTCACCTGTCTCTCTTCAGATTAGAAAAGAAAAAAGAGAAAAATGACGCCATTAGCTTGTTTATCAAAGAGATTTTAGGTGCACAGTATACACCCATGTGCGTATAAAACACTAATTATAAAAATATGCCAAAAAAATAGGCTACATAATAGTATAATACCGCCGAAACTAACAGAAAAGAAAAGATAATATTATTCAAAATTACTATCCAAACCTTAAAAGATTAAACTAAGGCATAGAATAATAGTCGTAATTGATAACTAGCGGAAACTTCACAATTGTTCCTAAAAAAACCAAAATCAGAGGCAGCCAGTGGAAGAAAATCAAAATTGTCGATCAATCAAGAAGATCAGCTACATATGAATCATATCAACTATAAAATTGATACCTCATTCCTCAACTCACATCTAACTAGATTTATTAAAAACAAAAGAAATAACCAAGGGCAAATCCAGTATTTTTTTTAATAATTGGATTCAAATAACATAATAAAAATTATATTAAAATTATTTATAAAGTAACAAATTAAGTGAAACTACTTGTATATTATATTGCACATCGTTGACACGTATAAAATTACGTGTATTAATACAAATTAAATGTTAGATTACTCATAATTTTTATATTATCTTATTCATATTAAATAACTGAATGTTATATAAATCATCTTTAAAATATTTTAACAACTTTTTTAAGAAAAATAAATAAATGGGGTCAATTAACCCATAACTTTGACTTTTGATTTTCCCCTGAGAAGCACAATTGCTACCGTAGTTCGAGTAAAAACTCAGCAAACACTAAAAGTGTTGGATTTTACGACGTGTGAGCACCGTGTGGAACCAAAACCCGCCTAGACAACAAGGTTTCTATCTCGTAGCTTAGACGAGACTAAACCAAAAACTTGAGTTTTACGAACTTAACGGTTTTCTCACGCTTTTGGGAGATGTCTTATTGAGTTCAACTCAAAGTGTATATTTCCCAACTTCCAAGATTGGTATTTATAGGTATAGCCCCAACCAGCAAGGCTCACAAGCAATGCGGTTGGGCGCTGCACTTGCCAGCTAGGCCCAGCATGCCTTGCTAGCTGTTGGCCTTGCGATGCATGTCGGGCTTGCGGCAGGCACCCGGTTAGCCTTGCCAAGCCCTCGCATGCCTAACTGCTAGCTAGGCCATTTGCGAGGCTACGACTAGGTGTTGACTTGTCGTATGACTTTATTTGTCGTCTCGTCGATTTCTAGAATTGACTTGACGTTCGACGCTCGACTTCGACACTCTAAGCTCGAAATCCGACGTCTAAGTTCATAAAATCCTTGTCGACTTATTTAATCCTTCGGATTAATTTGTCGCCTTTGTTTGGTTACACGATTGGGTGTGAGCATGTTGTAAGATTAATTATATTAATTTTACTGATCAGAAGTGGCCTCCAGCTAGGCATTTCGATCACTTGACTTCACTGAATAATTAGTTTTTCTAATTTATTGCGAACTCTCTGTCGGAGTAATACACTTGTTCGAATGACAACATTCCTTTCAAAAAGAAAATATAGTGATTTTAAAAGAGGAAAGAGAGGGAAAAATGAGATTGTAAAAAATACGAAAGAATTTTTAGGCATGTTGTGTTGTTGGTGGGTTTCGGTTATCTATACACTCCCTCCGTTTTTTATTTTATTTGCATCATAATAATTTGTTATACTATAATGATGTATGTGGATGAATAGTTTATCATAGTAAAGTAATGAGGGACCATGAAAGTGAAAGTATGTGAGAGAGAGTAGTGGGGACCATGAGAGAGAGAAATGATAAATTAATTTGAGTGTGGTTTAAAGTAGGTGGGAGAAATAATAGAATATAGTATAAAGTTACTATATATAGAAGTGATGCAATTAAAAAAAAACCACCTATTTATGAAAGTGATGCAAATAAAATAAAAAAACGGAGGGAGTATTATATTAAAGCAGAACTCCCTCAAAAAAACATTTATCATCCCTTCCAAGTCCCAAATACTTTAGTTTTTTTTTTTCAATGGTTTAAATCAAACCAAAGTTATTAGAATCGGGATTCTAACTTGAATCGGTAAGTGGGGTAGAATTGAATCGTAAAATCGTATGATTATACAAATTTAAAAAATTGGGTTTCAAAATGATATTAAATGACAAAAAATAACTTTCAAGCAATAAGTATGATATAAAATATAGTTTTGCTACCATAATATCAACAATACAAACTTAGACTCGTTTTATTAGTACTATCACACGCTCCTAGTTCAAATAGACACAGAACACTATAAAATCATAAGATATTGGTACATGTTATAACCTAGCAAGTCAATCACAAGAGTACGAGACAATTAATGTTAAATAACGAACAAATAAAGTAATTTTTTTGACACTTAAAATTGTTTCTCCTAGTAAATAATCCAATGGTAAATATATACTAAGCGTCAAATAAGTTTAGTTCGAAGATAAGCTAATATATGACAACCATAATAAACTTATGTGATAAGAGTGTTTTTATATAGCTAATGGTCAATGTTGAACTCATAAGACTCATTAATCTATGATTTTGTCCATGAAATTAAAATGGTTGGATAGCATTTTGAAAGAGTTTAAAATTGATATTTTATAACCTTAGTTTCAATTTATATTGAAAATAGATAAACAATTGAATAAAAATTAGGCTCAAATATGACACCCTTTCACTCTTTTGGCCATATCATATAATATATAAAAGATATGGATGCGAGAACAATTGGTTTAGAAAGTAGATTTCAAGAGCTTTTCAATGGTATATTATAAGCCTAATTTAACTTTGCAATCAAAAGTTATGGGCTTCGGAATATCAGGATTTTTGTAGGGTACAATCATTAGAATCGGTGTAGACTCGTAGAATCGGTCCAATTCCACCAATTCTAACGATTCTACGAGCAATTCTACTACATAATAATTTTGAGTACGATTCAAATCACTTGGGTGGATCGGGATAGTTGATTTTAATAACAATGAATCAAACATTATCATATACTAGATATCAATAATTGAATACATGAATACATTGAATTTTTTATTTTTTTTTTCTAAATTCTATTTCTCCTTATTAATTTTTTTGTTAGAAAAGGTCTATTATTAAAACCTAAGCCGAATAAGCATCAAAATATCAATTTATATTAAGTAAATTTCTTAATTTTGATTTATTATATGTATTAATTTAAAAATTCGGGCATGGCTCGAGCATTATTTATTGATTCTTATAACCCACCAACTAATTCTTATTCACTTAGTTTAATAGGCGAAGACTAATAACCCTCTTTTCCAACTTTGTCCTTTAATTTTAGAAAAAGAAGAAAAAATTTCCCTTTAATTATTCCTTATTCGCCTTGCATAACCAAACATAAAAAAAACGAGAGTAAGGGATAGCTCAAGTAGTTAGAGTTTCCCTCACGGTTTCAGGAGATCTTGGAATCGATCTCACCCCGCCTTTGTGGCTCTCTAAACAGTAAACACTTAAAAAAAATGAAAAAAAAAAATAGAACCATAGCTAAAACCAAACCAAACTGTAAAATATGGTGTGAGATTTTCCTCAAACCAAGCCATATTAGTCACCAAATCGGAGCAAACCAAACTGATTTAATACAGTTGGTGCAGTTTGAGAAGAACCTCTTATAGGTTATTATCAATTTTTTTTTAGAAGAACCTCTTATAGGTTCAATAAGGTAAAATCTCTCAAAAAGCCTTTACCAAAGAAGGCCAATTGTATCATTGTGAAATCTTACCAACGAGACAACGTACTCCCCATTTGGCCCTTTTATTTGTATGAATAATTTGACTTTTCTATTTATCGAGTATATACTTTCTTCATTATCTTTTAAATGCAACATTTGGCTTTTAAATTACTTATATACTCTACTTTGATTAGCTTTGTTGATTTTTGGTTAAGTAAAAATGAAGTCATGTGGGATCGTTGAATTCATCCCACTTTATAGTTTATAAGAAAGATGATTATCTAATCACATCAACCATGTAATAAATATGAAAATAAATGTATATAATTGCAAATCACAAGATCTAATCTGATTAAAAATAAGATACCATAAATGTAATACCCTGTATTTTTATACGTATTTGAATTTAAAATATTATTTTATGAAATATTTAAATAATTCAAAATGAATTGGTATTTTATTAATTTAAAAAGGTTTATTTTAATTAAAGGTCCATTTTTATTTATTTAATTACTTTGGAAATATTTTAATTTATTATTTAGAAACTTTGGGGCATATTATTTTATAAAAGGAAGTTTTAAGGTCAATCGAAAAGGACTAGTTTGAATAGGAGAAAAAAATCATTAAGGGTAGAAAGGGAATTTAGGTTATTAGAAGGGTTTTGAGAGAGGGTATAAATACCCATCTTATGAGCAAGTTAGAAAATACCCAAGGTGGAAAATACCCAAAGGTAAACACACTCACTCTCCTCATATTTTCTCTCTCCCCTTAATTTTCCCCCTCCCCTTAATTTTCCCCTCCCCTTTTTCTTCTCACCTCACACACACACACGCAAGGTGGCCGACCACCACCACCACCACTTTCCCTCGACCGGCCACCGCCACAAGCAACAAAGTCGCCGGCATGGAGGTGGCAGCAGTCCTCTCCCGTGTGTGCGGTTGTATTTTTTTTTTTTTAAAAAAAAAAACTCTCTCTCTCTATTTTGTTTTAAATCAATCCAACCTTGTTTAATTATTAATTTTTGATGTGTTTGATGATTTCATGATGTTCTAATTATGATTAATATGTAATTAATATTCAGATTTAGTTTTTGAATTAAAAAGCCCCAAATTGAAAACCCTAGATTTCTAATTTAATGTATATTGATGGATCGGATTTGATTGTAATTGATTGAAACAATTGAAATTGGTATTTTGAAACATAATTACAGTAAGTTTATAATTTTTTATAATGCTGGAATTTTTATATAAAGGTTAGAATTATGTTTCTTGAAAGAATTTTAAATACCCATTAATTGGGAATAAAAGTAGGTTGTTTAAATAATTTTCATCATGTTTTAGAGGGTTTAAAAGTGATTTAAAAAGTGTATATATTGTTGGAAATTTATTATGAATCGGTACTAATGTCTCTTTGTAATTTTGTGCTGTAGGAGACTTCCAAGTGAGTGATTTCGTATAGCCGTGGTGATTTTAAGATCATATTCGAGGTATGTTCGCGTACTCGGTAATTATTTAAGTGTGTAAAAGCTTGTTAGACTTTGATTAATTAATTCTAAGGTACTATCATCATGATAGGTATTGGTTGATATTGTTGATTTGGTTGATGTTGGTAATTGATTTGTAAAGTATGGATTATTTGTGGTGAATTGATGATTGAAATTAATTATATTGGCATGTTGATTATGAACCAAAATTTTATTATTGGCGTGATTAAGAGCATTTTTAATTAAACTAAATATTTAAATTGGTTTGGAATATCGAAAGGAAATGTTATTATGTTTCATATAATTTTTATTGATGCTTTAAGCATGAGAATTGAGCTATTGAGTGTCTTAGTACACAAGATTAAAATATATTGCGGTGTCTAAGTGCACTTAAGGTGTTCTAAACACCGAGGGATAGGATTTGCGGTGTTTTATGCGTTTAAGGTGTTATTTAACGCCGAGGTAGTTTGTAAAGGGTTCAACATTCAATTTATGTGGTCACTAATTATTCAAGAATTAAATTGGTATGTTTGATTGCTTGAATAATTTATTATGATTGATTGTGTTATGATTTGAGAATCATTACCAAGTATAAAAATATGTAAACAACGTAAAGTGAAAGAGATTACGCACCAAAACTCTTGGAACGTATATACCTTGAGTATGAACATATATATATAGGGGGAGTTATAGGGTTTTATATTTAACCAAAACTTCTACTGGGAGTATAAGACGCTGTATTTTCCTTTTAGTATTTTATGCGCAAGACGTCCGTCACTTTCATGTGACATTTGCCTACCCGGTTAGCTCCCGATGTAGTTTACCCCAATTCTTTGGGGCAGGGATTTGGTAAGAAACTCGTTCGATGCGTAATCAAATTAAATAAGCAATTTATCTATTTATTGGTTGGTTGTATTGTATGTCGTATGATTGTAAATAGGTGCAATACGGTAAGTGGTGTGTTGATAGGATGAATAAAGCATGTTAGTGTGTACTGTTTACGCTTATGTACTCAACATTGCTGATTGTGTGTCTGTATGTTTGTTGGCCTTGTCTTTATCTTGGCCCTATAACGACCCATTTCTAATGGCGAGTAGTGGGGACAAAGTAAAGAGAAGGTTTTCAGGTGATGAAGCATATTCATGATGGGCATGAGTGAAGAGCGAATTATGTTTAGTTTTCATAAGAATATGATGTGGTTTATTTGCTTTGATTATCATATATTTGCTTGTGAGACTAACACAAAGGTTTTAATATTTATTTCGGTGGGCCTTAATGGTTCCAAGTTGTAGGTTGACCTCGTTTGACTTTTTTTTTACTTTACTTTCGTTTGGTTTGACTTTTAAGTTTACTTGTTTTGAATGGTTTTTTAAAGAAAGTCTTCCGCTGTGTGTATTTGATAATTGCCTTAGCCGTTTTTGCGGTGGCGGTAATGTCTTAGAATTTCCTATTTCGTATTTTTAAAAGAGCAAAACAGGTATTTTAAAGGAAAGGAATTTCTAGGGTGTTATAATAAATATCAATACATATAAGCACAAGGAATAATTAAAGTAGCAATCTGGTGCAACATCCGGGCCACAAAGTAGTTAATGATTGAAATAACGTATTGACAAGCGTAAAAATGAGAAGTGTTGCATTTAGAAGAGAATAGAAAATATAAACTTTGACTTTTTTTTTGAGTAGTTATATACTAACTTTGACTTGAATAGTTATGGGAGCACGTGCTACGCATGCCCCTTCAATTTGTGAAAACAATGTATGAGGAATGCTAATCGTGTGCTTGTTTATGTGAGAATGATAAAAAGGCACGGTACTTAGAAGGTAAAACCACTTAAACCATAACAACAAAGTTGTTTTAAAAATGACGAAATAATTATCTTTATTGCCTTTTGACATTTAATTAAGAAATCAGTATTCCCTCCTTGTTTTAAGAAGTGATACACTTTGATTTTTTTACTATTTCTATTCACAAAGTTGTTTTGACTTGTTTAATTTACTATTATATGAAAAAAAGATATTATTGTATAATATATTGTTGGATTCGTTATAATGTATACTTTGATTATATCAATTTTCTTATAATTTTACTGACATATAATTAGATAAATTAATAGTTAAAGTCGTGTCTCAGCTTATTAAAACACGAAAAAAGTAGGTAATTTATTGTATAATGGATTCATAAAAGACAAGATATTAAAAAAAGAGAAATTCTCAATGATAGCCCTATATTATTGCTTATTTCCAATGATAGTCAATTTTTTTTTTTCGATTTTTTTTCCTGATTATCTTTGGTAGCTCGTTACCATCCTAGGGAAATTTTTTTTTTAAAAAAAATCCTAGGAAAAAAACTCCATAGTAATTTATATTATATATCAAAAGACGTTCCTCAATTAATCAAATATTTTATTTATGTGCTTAAAAATATGGATTGGACAAAGTTTGAACTCAAGGGTTCAAGTTTCAAAACTATATTGCTAACCACTAAGGCACTAAACTATATCATATTATATGTCATTTTATTATAATTAAGGATTTTAATGATGAAATTAATGTTATAAGAGGTAAGTTTTGCAATCGTGGATAATTTAACATCCCAAAAAAGAGCAAAAATCTATTCCCTCCACATCATCATCTTCTTCCACCTTTCACTCACTCCACAATTGAAGCATGAACACTTTCCTTCTTTCTCCTCCACTCCCCACCCGCTTCCCTCCACCCCATCTCCACAACCACCACTCCTTCCTCTGTTCTCCACCTCTCCTCCGCCGCACCCTCTCTCTTCCACCACCCTTCCCCACCACCTTCTCCGGCACCCTCTCCGACCACCTCACCACCGACTTCCACAACGACGACGTTGACATCCCCCCCACCTCTCGCAACCGCTACGACTTCTCCCCTCTCATCAACTACCTCTCCACCCCATCTCCCCCTTCCGAAACTCCCACCAACTCACCTCCCAACTCACTCGACTCAACCGAGTTCCAACTCGCCGAGTCATACCGCGCTGTTCCCACTCACTACTGGCACTCCCTCCTCAAATCCCTCGCTTCTTCTCCCACTACCATCTCCACCGCTTACGCTGTCGTCACCTGGTTGCAGAAACACAATCTCTGTTTTTCATATGAGCTGCTTTACTCCATCTTAATCCACGCTTTGGGGAAGTCGGAGAAGCTCTACGAAGCGTTTCTCCTTTCGCAGCGCCAGAAATTGACCCCGATAACTTATAATGCATTGATTGGAGCTTGCGCTCGAAATGATGATCTTGAGAAAGCCCTAAATCTGATGTCGAGGATGCGGCAAGATGGGTATCCTCCTGATTTTGTGAATTATAGCTTGATTGTGCAGTCGATTGCGAGGACGAATAATAATAATCATGGGGATTCGTCGGTTTTGGTTAGATTGTATGAGGAGATGAGGTGTGATAGTGTTGAGCTTGATGCTCAGCTTTTGAATGATTTGGTTGTTGGGTTTGCCAAGTCTGGGGATGTTGATAGGGCGTTGTGGTTTTTGGGTGTGGTTCAGGGGAATGGGTTGAGTGCCAAGACTGCTACGCTTATATCGGTGATTTCGGCGTTGGGGAATTCCGGGAGGGCCGAGGAGGCCGAGGCCGTGTTCGAGGAGCTTAAGGAAGGTGGGTTGAGGCCTAGGACGAGAGCTTATAACGCGGTTTTGAGGGGGTATGTGAAGGCTGGTATGTTGAGGGATGCTGAATCCATTGTTTCGGAGATGGAAAGGATTGGGGTTTTGCCTGATGAACATACTTATAGCTTGTTGATTGATGCTTATGCGAATGCCGGGAGGTGGGAGAGTGCTAGGATTGTGTTGAAAGAAATGGAAGCTAGTAATGTAGGGCCTAATTCGTTCGTGTTTAGTAGGATTCTAGCTAGTTATCGCGATAGAGGGGACTGGCAAAAGTCGTTTCAAGTATTGAGGGAGATGAGGAATTGTGGGGTGAAGCCTGATAGGTTATTTTATAATGTGATGATTGATGCTTTAGGGAAGTATAATTGTATGGATCATGCTATGGATACCTTTGAGAAGATGAAATTGGAGGGGATCGAGCCAGACAATTGTACTTGGAATACATTGATCGATAGCCATTGTAAGTGTGGGCGATATGATAAGGCAGAGGAGTTGTTCAAAGAGATGCAAGAAAGTGGGCGCACGCCTTGTATAACTACGTATAATATTATGATCCACTGTTATGGTGTGCAGGAGAAATGGGAAGAGGTTAAGACTTTAATGGGAAAGATGCAGGGTCAAGGATTATTGGCTAATGTCGTGACATATACCACTCTGGTTGATATATACGGGCAATCAGGAAGATTTAAGGAGGCTCTTGAATGCCTAGAGGTTATGAAAGCGAATGGATTGAAACCTTCGGAGACCATGTACAATGCCTTGATCAATGCCTATGCTCAAAGGGTATGAATTGTGATTTTTCTTCAAATTCTTGCTATTTTTCTCATAAATTATCGACAAAAAGTTAAATATAAAAATCTGGTGATTATATGTGTTGAGTTGAGGATCTATTGATGAATTGTAGTGCAAATTGTTTGTATGAGAAAGTTTTAGATCATAGTATGATGACATGATAAGGCCTTTAATTGTGGCAAACATGGCAGTGGGGTGGGAGTCACTTGTTTTGAAGATTGTACTGAATCAATGCTTCCTGCTTTACGCACTTAATACTAGGCAGCGGTTAGTTAATGTATTGCTTTGGTTGATCTTATGTGTATAAAGTACCTTCTTGACTTGCAGGGTTTATCAGACCAAGCAATTAATGCATTTAGGCTCATGCGATCAGATGGCCTCAAGCCTAGTATTTTAGCTCTCAATGCATTGATCAATGCATTCGGGGAGGACAGAAGGGACACTGAAGCATTTTCTGTCTTACAGTATATGAAAGAAAATGTAAGTTCTGTGTTGTGCTATTGTCTTTGCTGGTATGCTTGTATCCACATTGCCTCAATGAATTAACTTATTTTCTGCTTAATTATTCTATTTGCTGTGTTTGCAGGACTTGAAACCTGATGTAGTTACATATACAACCCTTATGAAAGCATTAATCCGTGTTGAAAAGTTTGATAAGGTAATAATTTCTACATTCTTGTACATCGTATACAAATCTATAGAAAGTCTACAATCATTTTCTGCATTTGTTATTTTTTGCTAGTCTTGTATTATACATCCTCTCTTGTGATCCCTTGTAGTCCTGACTCCTGAGTGCTGCTTTTTGCTGTTAGATAAAGGGTTCTATTGCATTATACTTTCGGCTAGATGTCATCAATGTGGTATTGGGACTTGACCAGGGCATATTTTGTTCTTATGTCAACTAATGTCCCATATGTGGGTTTTTACTGAACAACTAAAAAAAATAATGAACTTTTTCTTTCTTTTCTCATGCTGAGTTGCTGATTGCTATGTTGTGGTTCTAGAGTTTGGGCATTTGTTTTTATCAAATTGACCAGCCATGTCAACTAGTTAAGCAGTCCTGCCCTGGCAGATTTAGGATTATCTGGTTTCATATAACTAATGAAGAATTGTATGTGGCACTTGTCCACTTTATTGCTCTAATGCACTTCTTGCAGCATAATACAGAACGACAATACAGTTTATATTTTGTGATATATGTACTAATTATAATATGTGACTTGGTGTTTGTACTAGAAGCAAGATGCAGTGGAGGAAAGGTTGCATATATCAACATTATAACATCTGAAAAATGGAACACTCTTTATATTGTGATATATGTACTAATTGTTTATTATACTTCAGGTTCCTTCTGTCTATGAAGAAATGATATTGTCTGGCTGTAACCCAGATAGGAAGGCTAGATCAATGTTAAGATCTGCGCTGAAGTACATGAAGCGGATGCTGAGATGATAATTATTGCAAATCAATCTTCCAGCAAAACCTGATGATATGTGACAAAGTTGAACATATCTGTTGTTTTTGATGGGTTAGTCTTCCTAACTCTCCGAAGTATCTCAGAATCTGTTATGTAGGTCTAAAAACGTTTATTTTCAGTCTAGTCAGATGATAAGTATTTAATCACATACAAAGTACAAATTAATTTTCTTAAAAGCTTTGATAAAGGTCAGAGATTTAAGGAACTGCATATTGGTTCAGTTTCCCTCAAAACCTTTCTGTACAAAAGATGATAAGTAGCCTTCCAATTACATAATTACTGTCAGTAGGTTAATGGTCAGGAGAGAATAGTATATACTCCATCCTTTCAGAATTAGTAGTTTCATTGTCTGCAAAATGTTGTCACCTTCTTAACAGTGATTAAATTTCCTAATGACATTACCTACATAAAGTGATGCAGAAATGATGAAGAAAACACATTTTTTTATAGCCTTAGGGTCATTCTGTGAAATTATGTTCGATCCTTAATTGTGAGGGTATGAGACAATGTGACTACTAATTACATATGGAGGCAGTGGCTCCTTCTAGACGGGCCAGAATTGGCAGGCTGAAGGAGTCATCTTTGAAAATTTGACACTTGTATTTGCAAAAATGATAACCTGCCATTCATTTATCCTGTATGAAATAAAAGCTAGTGATAAAACTACTAAATCATACTGTATATTGCAAGCAAATTTTATTTTGCTGAAAAATATTTCTGCTAAACATTATTTTCTTCTGGATATGTTTCACAGTGCAGGTCGTAAAGATCTGTGATCGTGTACATTCATTTGTAAACTTATCCCTGTTGCCTGAAGTTACTGTGATTCACCATAGTTGCAGAAATCAGAAGTTCATAACAGACCTAGTTAGAATTTAGGACACCTTTATTGTAAAATAGTTTGTAATGTGTACATGCTTCAAGCTTCAATTACCTTTTTTTTTTTTTTTTTTTTTTTTTTTTTTTTTTTTTTTTTGTTTTTTTTTTGGACAAAAGCTTCAATTACTTGAATAACAGCATCACATTGACTTATTCTTTTGTACACCTGATAACAAATATGTTCCATGATGTAATCTTATAGTTCGATTTATGCCTCTTGCCTTAATCTATCTCAGATTCTATTACAGTATATGTTTATAACCAATAAACTCCTGTAACTTTGCTTATGTCGACTAGTCAGAGAGACTAGAATAATTTAAGTTATACTTCCTTTGGTTTCACTTCCAACAGTTTGACTTTTGCCTATTCTCTCATGCTATATTTAAAATATCTTTGGTGATTAATTCTCAAGGTGTGAGTTCTTGTTATTGTTTCTATATATTTTTCAAACTATTATAAATAATTTAATAATTGTATTTATGGTTGATTTTATGCATTGATAAGGGGGAAAGACATACACTCCATCTAATTATTTACCCTAAAATTTCTGATAGCTTCATCAAATTACCTGAACTTTGTGGCGGTCGTCGGAAAAAAAAGAGCACCCTTTAGATGAGCCCTACATTTAAATGGAGAAAATAAAGAGCAAGATGAATTCTACGGTGAGTATAGCCGGAGAAAGTGGGTACATGGTAAGCATAGGAGGAGCGAAACACTTAGGGGAGAAGTTTTTATTTTATTTTATCCTCAAAGTTTTGTGGAGAGTGAGATTATCGTTTTGTCATCGGTACTACTTAGTGGTGTATAAATAATGCTTCGTATTGGTTGAACTACTTTAAAAGGAAAAAAAAAAATCAATCAGCTACTATAATGTCTTTATTCAAAATAGGTCACATCTTTATGCAAAATAAGTATGTATAAAAGATTGAGACAACGTGACAACTAAATCCAAACATAGGTAAGAGATGTAAAGATAAATAGGAGCATAGAGCATTTTTAATTCTAGTCTTTGTAAGTTATCACATCCGGGGATATCCCTGTTATTTAGTTTATAAGTACCAAAATACGAAATACATGTTTATCAGCACTATATTCGTTCCTTAGGTTATCAATTGAAATTAAGTTGGCCATACTTGGGCTGTTGATTAGGACTAAAAAGTCCAAAATGCTGCTCAGTGGGAGCTCCTTGTTTGTTATTCTCATCAAACATAGCAAACAAGTAAGTTTCAATTCCTTGTTGTTTCAAAGGAGTCCCCTGCTTCACATGACTGATTAAATTCCTGTAATAAGTTCCTGCATTGTCCACCGTGGCAGCGTCTCCACCTTCTGATGGCCATCCACTCTCAGACACTACAATGGCGATATCATGTGCATCGGCCCTCCCTAAAGCCGCGTACACTGCATCTACAAGTGCATCAAATAGATTTTGATAGTTCAATCCATTATTAGGATCATTGGCCACTGTACCAGAGGCAGTGAATAATGCATAGTCGAGACGGATTTGCCCCTCATTATTTATGTAAGCAAAATAAGGATAAATGTTAACCAACAAAGGTGAACCATTGCTCTTTAAAAAGTTGATTATGGGGGTGATATATGACGAGTCACTAAATTGGCCGTTGGATGGTGGAAAAGAATTTGTGATTAAGGTTGTGTCAATGGACGTAGAAACCTTCATCTGACCACCTAAACCGTTTGAATTCAACGCATTAAGAACATTTTGCATTGCTGGTTGGACTGATGAGGCTTGTTGATCAGACGGATGAACTTCATTCCCTACCGCGATGTATTTGATTGATGATCCATAAGGAACGACGTTGGTTTGAACCCACTGGTTAGCAGCTGATTGATCCGACGCTAGAGACTGAAGGTTGTCATTAGGGACACCTAGGATGATTTTGATGCCTGATCCTTGTAGGGCGGTTTGGAGAGTTTGATCAGGAGCATACATCCTCATAGCTCCTATTTGGTTGGATTTGTAGAGGTTAACGACGTCTTGCTTGGATGGTAAGTTGTTTCCATTGCCCCCATAACATACTCCAATTTGCGCCTCTGCATTCATTCAATTATTGCACATTGATTAGTACTGAGCTGAGTACATGCTTAAGGATGAACGCGTATGATTTAGACCATACAAAATTTACTAGACCCAATTTTCCATTTGAGTTGACTTGACCTTGTTTGATCCGATTAAATTGTAGGCTCAAATCGAAACATATTTGTTTTCTATAAAATAATCGACTATAGACTTGTATATAAATGCTTTATTCAATTTGAGTACGTTTTGAATGGTCCATCATAAAATGAATGTTTTCCTAAACCTAATTAAATTACTGATTTGGCATCTCCAATATAATGTTGTTTAATACTCCGTACTTGTTATGTTTTAGAGAGGTCATAAAGGTCAGATCAGTGTACATACGTGCATTGTGACACCTTCTCAATTATACTTCGCCTATAGAGCATTAATAAAAATTTCTGCTACTCAACTCGTCATCTAAGTGTACATATAGAGGTAGAGTAAGGGTAATTTTTTTGGCTTGTTTGATATTTTTTGCAAATTTGAAAATAATGTTATCTAATGAAAAGAAAAAAAAAAAAACAGTACAACTTTCAAGTATCGATTATGTACTATATATATGCAGCAAGACGTACTCAATAACCAACATTAAAAACAACAAAGATGAGATTATTAGATAGATCTGTATATTTATACCTGCAGGGTGTAAGCTAAGGAATAAGAATGCTATATTGAACAGTATCGTGGCGACGATCATGGGAGAATTGCTAGGAGTAGCCATGGAAAACATGATAAAGAAACCAGTGGCTATGTGTTTAACACTACTTGTAGACTAGAAGAAGCAAAACTAATACTACGCTGTTAAATGCGTTGATGTTTTGGTGTCCTTCTTCTGCCCCTTTATATAGATCACATATTCACATTATTAGGCAATGAACTAATACTATTATTTGTTTATTCCACAAAAATGTTAGGCAATGACCCAGTAATTACCCCATTATTTTCTACATTATATGCCAAAACATCTTGGAAATTAATATTATTATGATCAAATAATTCCCATTTTCCCACGCGGCCACACTGTTAGGGTAGTGTTTTTTGTTCTTGCTTGCATGAAAATTCAACACTTCTGTTTCGGGTGAAAACAATGGGACCTTGCCGAAGGTCCGCTGAAATGGAGAAGGCTGGATTCGGTCCAAGTTATGTTGGGCCCAAGGTTTCCTGCACAGTAAACACACGTAAACTAGCCTCGGGGGTGTTGCCGAGGAAGGCCCCTCCGATGCTAAAGTCAGTACAATGTGTAAGAAGAGGACCCTATGCAAGAGAGTTTGTTGCTTGAGGCTTTTATGGAATATATCAGAATATATGAATGAACATATGAATCTATGAATGAATCAGAATGAATCCCTCATGAATGTATCAATATGATGGCTTTTATACCTCATCATACATGGAGAGGTTGGGCCTTAGCCCAATTGGCTTGCTTTGTGGGCTGACCTTTGACTTTAGCACAATTGGAGAGTTGAACCTTGACCTTGGGCTTTTAATTGGATCATTTAGTGCTTAGGCCCAATTGGACTAAATTGGACCCAAACAACTTGCCCCCCAGATCCGATTTGGAAGGATGACGGGTCGGGTTTGATTTAATTCAGAAAAGGAGGGAAGTAAATGATTTAATTAATCCAAAAATTTGAATTTAAACCGTAATTAATGAGATAACAACGGTTAAGGCAGATGATTGTGGAAGTTGGATGGATAATGGGCAGTTTAATCACAAGATCATGTGTTTAACGGTTACTTAGTGGAGTATTTAAGAGAAATTAAAACGCAGACTCCTCGTATCCCATACCTGGAGATATAAACAGAGGCGCGTCATCTCTCCTCACTTATTCACCAACACAAACCCAGAATTCTCGAGAGAGAAACCAAGAACCCGCATCAAAACTTCGCAAATTCCCCGAGCATTAAGCTTAGAAACTGAGACTTGCCACTACGAACTCGTAAATCGGCAACTTTCGCTTCAGATTAAGGTAAATTCCTTTGATTTCAGTTTATTTTTCTTCGAATTCGAACTCCTTCCCCTTTTCTTTCGACTTTTTTCTTCGAAATAATCAATGGCAAGAGGAGTTAGAGGTAGAGCCCGTGCTCCAAGAAGAGCAAGGCCGATTCCCGATCCTAGGAACAGGATTGGGACCTGGAATGGACAAAGGCCAGAGTCTGACCCTGCTGAAGGGATTAGGGCGACTCCCCTTTCCTCGGCTCCTCCTCAGAGAACGGAGGAGCCGAGCGCTTCTGGACGGGATGATGAAGTTCCCGCTGTCCTTTGGGATATCCTCCCCGGGTTTTCAGAATGGGAGAATGCCGAAGTTGCTTCGGCCATGATAAAGAACCGCCCCTACCCATGGTGGGTGGAGAATGCCGATCAATATCGATTTGCCGAGCAAATTGAGTTGCATTACGGCATTTTTGAAGCTGATGGGTATTGGTGCCGAATGCCCTCGGCATCCGATAGAATCCATCGTCCACCCCCGGGGTATGTGGGGGTGTACACAAGACAGCTTCAGTACGGGCTGAGGTTCCCTTTGGACGTATTCGTCCGAGACTTGCTGATCCATTACAACATCTCTCTATGTCAGTTAACTCCCACCAGCATCCGAAGGGTGATGACATACTTATGGGTCTGCAAGTTCTTCAAGTATGTGCCGAACCTGCACTGCTTCAAAAAGCTCCATCGGCTAGTGCCAAATATTCAAAGTGGGCACGGAAGCCATGGTTCTGGGTGGTACTGGATTGAGTCCCGGCCCCAATACCTAACCATGTGGCCAAACGACTCTTCAGACAAGGACTGGAGAGGTCAATGGATTTGGGTTAGGGCACCCACAGATCCGGGCCACCCTTGCGTCTTCAGCGCTCCCCGGTACCTCGCTGAGCCTGATCCCGAAATGGGAAGTCTAGGTCCCCCCGCAGATAACGGGGTGGATCCGAACCTTGATCAGCAACATATCTTCGGCAAGCTGCCGAACCGGGGGGGCAGTGGCCGAATGCAGCATATCCCGGAGACTTGGCTCCCCGATACGCATTACGTTTTCCAAGAGAACATGCTAGCAGCTGTTGGCCTCAGCCGAAAGTTTAAGGATGGTAAGCTTCTTCGGCTGGGGCCGAGGCTTTTTAACTATCTCTTTTTCTTCTCTCGCTTCGCTTTTTCATGCTGTGCCAACCTATCTGAACTAACCTTTCCCCTTTCCTTTTTCAGAGCGGGACGAGACCAACGTTGGCATTAACTACGCTCGTCTTGGTGTCAACCGAGAACGAGTTGTAACTGAACGGGCCCCGTCTATCACTGAGCCGAGGCATAGGGAAGTTCATCTAGACTCTTCCCACTTCCAAATTGAGGTTGTTGCTCTGTATCAGAGGCAGAAGCCTTGGTGGAAGAAGAGAGACCCCTGGTTTCAGCTGCTGGACGAAGAAGCTGAAGCTGCCCGTACAGCCGAAGAGGTTGCACGGGTTCTCGAAGCTTGCGAAGGAGGAGAAGGGTCCTCCAGAGCTGCTGAAGCAGAAGCTGCAGCTAGAGCAGCTGAAGAAGACGAGGCTTTGCTGAAGACCTCGGTGAGTTTTCAGACAACTTTGTCTTTCTTTTTTTTTTTTTTTTTTTACTCACATTCTTCCTCCCCCCTGTCTGTTACAGTCTGAAGAGAGTAACAGACATAGAGAAGGGAAAGCTCCTGTTCGTCCCGAAGACCAAATACAAAGAGAGTCTTCAGACTCAGATATGGACGAGCAGCCCCTTCTGAAAAGGCGTCGAAGGATGGCCATCATCGGCCCTCATGACTTTCAGCGGAGGCCGATGACCATCGGCGTTGCAATAAGGGAACCCGAGGAAGGCAATGGATCGCCGAGGGTTCCCCAGCCACCACCCCAATCACCTCAAAAGACCCCTCCGCCACCTCCTGAGATGGAGGTGGATCAGAGAACTCCCGAATCTAAGGGAGCGGTCCAAGAAGAAATTAAGGCGAGTGCTGCTGAGCACGAAAACAAGGATGCCGTGATGTCCAGTGCTGAGGGCTTCACGACAGACATCGCAAGAGAGGTTGAGGCTTTCGTCCTCACCCCTGAAGAAGAGGAGGTCATAGTAATTGACTCCTCTGAGAAGGATGATGCTGAGCCATCCAAAGCTAATCAAGCTCCATCGTCATCCTTCTCTTCCTTCCAGACTCTGCAATCTGGAGAAATGGGTTTCTCGGCCCCCCGAATTCCAATCCCAGACCACATCTAGGACCTCATATGGGGTCAGAACCGAGAAGGAGCTGCAGCCTACTTCGGCGATTTTGCTGGCATGTCCGAAGTAGATAGGGCAAGGATCTGGTCGCTGAAGGCCACTGCTGGGATGGGCGAATCCAGCAGATCAGTTCCTGACCCAGCCAGGTCTAACCAACTGCTGATGATGCAGGTAATTTTCCTTGCCTTCATTTCCTCTGAAATTCAGCTCTATTTTTTTTATTTATTATTATATTATTTTTTTTGTCTTCCTGTTTTCAGTTCGTACACAATCAGACTCTCACTGTAGAGCTGATAGATACCCTACAAGATAGGGTAGACGCTGCTGTGCACGACAAGAAGGTAGCTGAAGAGGAATTAAAGCTTGCTAAGCTGAAGCAAGCAGCAGCTGAAGAGAAGCAGCAGAAGGGTGAGGAGTATGAGAAAAGAGCTGCTGAAGCCCTCAAAACCTTCTGCGACGCTATGGAGAAGGAAGTTTTTCCCCCACTGATGGAAGGGGAAAAATTCCTCCAGGAGCATATGGGAGTGGACGTCTCCAAATTCAAGGCTGTTGTTGAGAGCCGTATTCAGGAAGGAGCTGCTGCACAAGCTGAAGTGCAGCAACGTCTAGAAGCTCTTGAAGCCAGCCGAATGGCTGCTGAAGAGCTGCTCCAGGCCAAAGATGTCCAACTCTCAGAGGCTGCTGCTGCTGCCGAAGCTCAGAGAGCTAAACTCCATGAGGCTGAGGATCAACTGATGACCCAAAAAGTTGAAGTGGCCCAAGCTCAGACAAAGGCTTCCCAAGTTCAGCAGGAGCTGAATGAGCTGAAAGGTTCCTCCTCCAAGCTCGCTGATGAGCTGAAGAAATCCAAGGAAGACTTGGAGGAGACCCAGAAGAAGCTGACTGATGCTGAGGCTCTACTCAAAGTCCGTGTCTATACCCAAGAGGAATATGAGATGGGTTTCAGAAACGGGTTCAGAGTATGCCGAAGAGTCTGCCTTCATGCTGAACCGAAGCTGGACTGGTCTAAATGTGCTGAATGGGTCCAGAATCCCGAAGACCCTCATATGAAGTATGCAACTCCAGTCGAAGCTGAAATCCTTAAGGCTGAGGAAGCCGAAGAGGAAGCTGAGAGAATGGAGTTGGAAGCTGAACAGAGGGAAAGGGAGGCTCGGCAGAGTGCAAAGCCCGCTTCTTCTGCTGCTGGGGCTGAGGCCACCATGGGGCTCAACGCTGATCAGTCTGATCCTCAGGCTGAAGCATAGGAACTCGGGCAGTCGTCTTCAGAATCTTGCGGTTCATCATGTGCTTAACTTTAGACTTGCCGCTTTCTGAATTTTTTGCCTTGTTTTTTGCTTCAGCTTGCCTTGTCGTACAACAGTTTATTTTTTTTTCTTATGTACGTATTTCAGCAGCTGTTATTTTCCGCTTGTGGGCGGCTGCCGATACAGTTTAATTGAACTTGTAGCTCAATTTCTGAGCATGAATTATTAATCTGATGCTCTTTTCTTCACTTGCTTTGTTTTTGAATGCTTTACTGTTTCTGTTTCTTCAATTCTGCCGTACATACTTGCACTGAGAGTGCTTCTTGCCCCCCAGAAATTGAAGTATGACTTCCGCTGAATAAGCAAT